CTTGGTTGGATTCAGTTAGTGCTAACTTCAAACTGTATTATGATTTGTTGGTTAGTTCATGATGTTAAGGTTGTCTTAAAACTAACTGGAATTATCTTAAAGAGCTAAATTACAGAAGCATCCTCCAGTAAAGCCAGGGAAAGCATTGCAACAAATATTGTACTTGGCTCTTCACCGGTGAATAATGCGATTTTTCTCGCATTTTCTAGAGGATTGTGTTATTCCCATTTTTGGGGTTCTACTTTCCAAGATAAGATAAATAATGAAGAAGATGAGGATGGACGTGGCACACTTGATGTTCACACATTTTGATGCCACCGGAATCGCATGTTCGGAACAAATAACTTTTTCTTTCCTCACGGTTTCGGAATTTTATAATTAATTCGGATTGATCCATGCCGTACATCTAATTTAATAGGTGAGTTTTTGTAAAATTTTGAAATTTTAAATAAGAATAAATTAATCCATAAATTGTACATTGAGCCACAGAGTTAGGGCTGTAAATGAGACGAGACAGATCGCAAGTTACTCGAGATTGACTCAATCAAGGCTCGATAAATACTCGGATCGAATGGACTCGACTCGAATTCTTAACGAGTCGAAACAAACTACTTGATACTCGATTCAAAAAGCTCGTGAGCAGCTCGAAAATATAATATATTAAGATTTTATTTTTTTTAAATTATGAATAATATTAACATTTTTGTTGATTTTTTTAAAATACGATAAGGTTTTCTTGTATTTAAGGTTCAGGTTCGAGTTTAAGAATTTTTTTCATTTCGAGCCTTTTCGAGCTGCTCACGGTTCAGGATTTCGAGTTCGAGTCGATCTTAAAAATTTTAAGCTCGCGAGTTTTCGAGTCGAGTTCAGTAATACTCGAGCTCGACTCGGCTAGTTTTCACCCCTGCACAGGGTCACTGGCTCCCGTAAAGTTTTGAAAAATTTAAGTGGTTTCTTTTCAAGCTGTGTTGTCAAGTCATTGTATTTCTTTTACAACTATCAAAGTTAATCATATGAAGGAGTGGTTAAAAATCTAAAGAAACGAATTATACATATAAACATGTATAATTGGTGATGGTAAAAAGTAAATAAAATTAATACTAATATAAAAATACATATAATAACAAGAACTCATTGACAAACTAACATTATCATATCACAATAGTAACCTATTTTAGATAATGACAAACTAAGATTAGTACGACTTAATCGTAATATATCTTTTGCGATTAGGAACACCTATCACTATCAAGCTCAAGGGACTATATTAATAATAGATCAATAAAACAATTAAATAAACATCATTTTGTGAAATAACGTGAAAATAATATTGAGAAAAATGTCTTATAAGAGCAAGACCTAAAACGTACTACAATAATAAATGAACGGAAGAAAGGAGGTGGTCACAGGCTTTTTCTAGTGCTGAAATGACAAATGAATGATTTTGACATCTCAGATTCTTATGTCAGACCCTCTTTCCTTTGCTTCTTCTTCATAATTCTCCCCCTCCTCTTTCACCAACCATTTACTTAATGATTCATTATTTCTTTTATTTTGCCAGCCTCCTCTCTTTTACTACATTTCAAATCGCCGATCCCAATAACATTCTCATCATTATTGCCGCTTCCATTACATCACTTCTCCGTATTCCCATTCCACGAGAAAGAAAAAGGAAATTTGATGATTCTAAAAAACCAGTTATATAAAGTCGATTAGCTAGTATCAATGATTAAAAAGAATATTATTATTTTTAAAGATTTTTGAATTGAATAATTACGTTTGGTTCGAAATCGACTACATTCTTATTCAAAATCGGGATCGATGGGCTTGCATTAACTGTAAGGTGTTCCCTGAAGAGACATGTGCATCACAACACATATTATTGATTTTAGTGTTCCGTGTACGCTACGGGCGGAGCATTCATTGGAGGGCTAAATTAGGTAAACCTAGGATCCTTTAGAATAACTTACATGGAGCTACAACTGATGACTTTAGGAGTAAGGTTTTGTCTCATACAGGTTTTGGAACTACAAACTCAAATAATGCAGACATGTTATGGAAAAATATGGTAAATTCCATCAGTGAGGTGGGCAAAAACACACTTGGGTTGTCGACAGGGAAGGTCAAGGAACATAAAGAATCGTGGTGGTGGAACGACGAAGTACAAACTAAGGTGAAGACAAAGCAAACTTGCTTCAAGGAGTTTCTACAATGCAATGACGACGAAGAAAGATCGAGAGCTAAACAAAGATACAAGGAGGGAAAGCGGGAAGCCAAGAAAACAGTGGCTAAAGCAAATGATAAGGCATACGAGGAAATGTACAAGAGATTAGACACCTATGAAGGACAAAACAACATCTTCAGGCTTGCAAAATCCAGGGAGAATAGGAAAAAGGATCTAGGTAGCATTAGGTTTATTAAGGACAACAATAGTGTTCTTTTAGTGAAGATCATGATATTAAGAGAGTTTGGGGTAGTTACTTCTTTGGCTTATTTAATGACGGTGCCTCTCCCTATAGAGATAGTATCATTGATGGGTCATCAGACCATCATACTACGACCAATGACTGCCCTACAAGTAGGATTGGGATTGAGGAAGTCAAAATGGCTCTTAGAAAGATGGGGAGGGACAAAGCTGTCGGTCCAAACCAAATTCCTATCATTGTGTGGTTGGCCCTAGAAGAAGAGAGAGTTAAGTGGTTGACCCCACATCTTTAATATTATATTAGAGACTGCCAAGATGTCAGAGGAGTGGAGAGAGTCTACGGTGATACCAATCTATAAGAATAAAGGAGATCCCCAACGTTGTAGTAAATACAGAGGTATTAAACTACTCAGTCATACCATGAAACTATGGGAAAGGGTGATAGAGGCTAGGTTGAGATAGGTTACTAGGGTTTCAGAAAACCAATTTGGCTTTATGCCAGACAGGTCTACTACGGAGGCGATTCATCTACTTCGACGGCTTATGGAGAAATATAGGGAAAAAAATAGAGATCTTCACATGGCGTTCATTGACCTTGAGAAGGCGTATGATAGCGTTCCCCGCGATATGATCTGGAAGAACTTTGAAACTAGACGGATCCCAACTGCTTATATCCGGGTGATTCGTGATATGTATTGTAGATCTACTACATACATCAGGACTACAATTGGCGACATCGAGGCTTTCCCGGTGGAAATCGGACTCCACCAGGGGTCGGCTCTTAGCCCTTACATCTTCGCCTTGATTATGGACGACATCTATTGTGCGACACCAGACGGTGTTCCATGGTGTATGCTTTTCGCCGACGATATTGTCCTAGTTGCTGAAACAAAAGCTGAGCTGAATAGTAGACTGGCTACCTGGAAGACTGCTTTGGAAGAAAAAAAGTCTAAGGATTAATATTGAAAAGACAGAGTATTTATGTTCAAACTTCAGTGGGAACCAAAACGATGAAGATTTAGAAGTATGCATCGAAGGACACGTTCTCCCCTCAAAATATTATTTCAAGTACCTAGGGTCTATGATACATAAAGATGGGGGTGTAGATGATGACGTTACACACCGTATAAAGGCGAGATGGCTAAAGTGGAGGGCTGCTACTGGAGTTTTGTGTGACAAGAAGGTGCCTCTAAAACTTAAGGGAAAATTTTATAGAATGACAATAAGACTAGCATTGTTGTATGGATCAGAATGTTGGGCAATCAAGAAGGGTCACGTAATGAGGATGGAGGCCGCAGAAATGAGAATGCTTCGATGGGCATGCAGTAGGACTTTGTGGGACATGACACCAAACTCTGCAATTAGGATGTCCTTGGGGGTGGTGCCTGTATCCGAAAAATTGAGGGAGAGAAGACTACGGTGGTTTGGGCATGTCCTTAGGCGACAACCGTCGGATGCGGTCAGGAGGGTATAGTCGATTACAATCGACGGTGCCAGAAGGAGAGGACGACCAAGGAGGAAGTCGGTTGGCTGCTTGAGATCTGATTTGAAGGATTTAGCTCTTACCGAGGACATGACCTCTAATAGGAAATTATGGAGACTTAAGACCAGGGTAGCCGAGTAGTGAGGGTCACAACCATAGGGTGTAGCATCGTTGTCTTCTTTTTAATGCCTTTGTAGTAATTTTCAATGACTTCTACTTTTTATACGTTTCTGTCATTGGAAATTATGAAGTCTTAGAACTAGGATAGCGGAGTAATGTTGCCTTAGTTTACGTTTTAACTCATTTGACTTTATTCATTCTCGTACCTTGTTATCGCTGACTTATGTGCATCATTCTCTTCATGTTTTCTTTTTCTAAATTTAGTCGGGACTTACGTTTCTGTCTATATGCAGAGATTTTTACGCAGAGATTTATTTGCAGGGATTACTTACCCTTACGGACGCGAATATGAAGACTGCATATGATTACTTTTCAACTATGTATTTATTTATTTATTTATACATGCATTGTATTTTATCTTTATTTTTAATTTTCTGACTGTCGGAGGTCTTCCACGGAAGCTGCTCTCAACCTGGCGTTGGGGACAACCTACTACCCTACCTCCCCCTTACCCCATTGCATATGGGAATAGGGTCTTGTTGTTGTTGTTGTTGTTGTAAGATATATATGCATTATCAATTAATAAAAAAATATACATTAATTTATATATTTATTTTTTATATTTAACGATTAATTACCCATCATCGCTCATTACAGGAGGATTTTAATAGCTGACGAACATGATATCTCACATGGTTTTGAATCGATGGAATCGGTGGCGGAGTGACAACTTGGTCAGGGTGGGCACGTGCTCACTTGAAATCCAAATTTTATTGGATTACTTGTTATTTTACTGATGGTGTCCACCTTGAAATTTTATTTGTACTCATTTCATTTAAAAATTTAATATTATTAACGTATGTGTCTACCCTAAAAAATATTTCAAGATCCGTAACTGGATTGAATAATATTATAATATCTTAAAATAGACAAATGAGTGGGATTTATTTTGAGTGATTAAACATGTAAATATGGTCGGTCGAAAAGTAGCTGAGTTGAAGTAAATATTACATATTCTAAACACAAATAAAAAGTAAGGATATAAATAAATATCCATATCCTTTAAACACACACAAACACATTGGATCAACACTTTTTCTTCACTTCAAACCCTCAAATCGCAACCTTTTGCTTGAATCTCAAACGCAACGCAACCGCTTGTTTAGCACCGCACTCCTTGCCGTCGGACGCTTCTTAAACCTGCTTAAAATCCAAATTACCTAAGATTTTATTATTTTAATAAATTCGTGAGTAAGTACTAATGAATGTTAAATTGACATATGCTTTTATTGCATAACTTACACTATTTTTAAAAATTAAATATAATTTTATTTAAAAAATATTTAATCGCATAAAATCGAAATAACTAGTTACTCACATTATTCACCTTAGTTTGGTTGTTCGTTTCCAGCATCAGCCCAAAGTGGATATAAGGGAAATGTGCCCACTACCATACACCACAATTAACAAAAGAATATTAGTCAACATAACAAAAAATTGATGATTAATTATGGAAAATAAAATATTTTATATCGGAAAATATCATTTTAGACATTATATTATATGTTAAGAACTTAAAATTATACTTTTAAATGATATATGAATTCTTTAATATTATAAATTTTTTAGTGATTGTATGTGTTCCATGAAAATATATACCAAAATTAAAAATATTTTCTATCTGAAAATTGACATGATAAAATTCAATATTTTCTAGATAAAAAACTATAAATTATATAATAAACTAATATTGGATAATAAATGAAAGTTAAAACTGTAGTTTTAGCTTTAAAAGCACTTTTTAAATATAATAAACTAATATTGGATAATTTTCAAATGTATTTTTCTTTAAAAATCATTTGTTTAATATTATTTATGACTCCAAAAGTGATTTTAATTCTGAAGACACTTGTAAAGAACAATGGTGAAAAAGAGGTTGGTTGTATTATTTAAAAATATATATGAAGCATGAGAAGAGAACACTATTATTATAATAATACTCATTAATTATTATATAAAATAAATAATTTTTTTATTTTTATTTTCAAATGAGTTGATACTTAAAATTGAATACATAAATATGGATGAAAAATCATAAAAGTGTGACAATTCTAATCTAAAGTAATTGCAAAATCATACTTACATTCTTAGCAGCAGTGCTAAAGGCTTCCCTGTGACTGATATCTGGATTGTTGGCCTTGATCCTTTGAATCTCCTCTCTACATTAATCCACAATTAATTACGTCCATATTAAATATATCAGAGTAAATTACACATTTAGTATCTAAACTATCAGTTTTGGTCCGCTTTAATACCTAAACTTTTAATTTTTTCAAAATCATACCTAACGTTTAGTTTTCATTTCATTTTAATACTCAAACATTAAAAACTTTAATTTTTGATTCATTTTAGTATCGGTTCAAGATTGATTGATGTACATGACAAACGTTAAAAGAAACCATACTTGATGAACTGGTTGTATGCAGAAGGTACTCGCTGCCTCTTCTCGGGAGCTGAAAAACAAAACAACAATGGCGCCACAACAACAATTATGAAAAATCCATACGTACATTATACAAGGAAAAAGCTCAAAACAGAGCAGCGTTTCGATCAACGTACGTCGGTTCACCACCCTTTCCTCGGTTGCACTGTTAGCGGCACGCATCGAGAACTTGTTGCCGCATTTCGACGACGAACCCAGATCTGTCCTGTAATCCTGTATTGCAGAATTGGGTGCCTGAAAAAAGAATTTTAAGTTAATCGGATGTATGATTTTATATCAGAATATAAACTTAATAAATCATATTAAAAAATTAGATCATTGATAGAAATATAAGAAAAATATCGAAACTATGTAGGAATTTGAGAGTACGATTGTTCCCCTAGATCCATCCTTAGACATTGAAGTGATGGTTTGAGAGAGAGAAAAGCAGCGGAACCAGGCATTGAAGTGACTGAATCAGTTAGAATTGTGGCATCATTGAATGTTAGATATCAGAACCGGACATAAGCTCGAAACCCTTGAAACAAGGGCCCCTAAGAAACCAATGAATGTCTCTTACAACCCTCACGGTTTTGCCCTCTTCAGATTGTTTCCATTGTTGAAGACAAAGTTCTTGGAAACATGTCATTAAAAACCTAAGTACCCTAACTTACATGTCAATCAAATCAGTCTACCCTAAACCAGACATTAGAAAAACAAATGAAAAGCGGCTGTGAAACTCCAGTTCTGCAAAACTTGGCGGCTGCTAGGGTTTCCAGAAAACTGTAGCTATTTCATAATTTTTTTTTTTACTGCGACCCAGATTAGCCCTAGTTTTTATAAATTTTATTCTATTTCGACCAGGATCTTATCACCTGAATATCTTGCCATGACAGTGACTGAGATGCGGCGGCTGCCATGTTAACAGACCATAGATTGGTGCAGTGCCCGCATCGAACTGTCACAATATCGAACAGGCTGCTACATGGAACGCTCACCTGCGCATCAATCCAATAATTACCCACTTATTAAAACGTTTTTTTTTTCAAATTAAAATTCAGTTGTGATCGTAACCAAAAATGAAAGAAAACCACAAGATCAGCTAAGATTATAAAAATCTGGGTTTTCTTTTTGTTACTGATATGCTAGATTCAGGTTTCTTCCTACATGAAGAAAAACGAGAAAGAAACTAGGTCAGTCGAATATTGTTCAGGAAGAAGCATAGGGTTTGTGAAAGAAATACCCTTTTATTTACCCAAAAAAAATTAACAAAAGGAAAAAAAGAAAGGAAATCTCTAAGCCTTCCCTTCTCCCAGCCCATTGATTTATGACTTTATTTTGACTGCAAAAGAAGAAGAAAAAGAAAAGTCTAACGATGGAGACTTGACGGGTAAGAAAATCAAGAAAACCCAAAAAGAGAAAATCAAATAGATTTCAGTAAAAAAAAAAAAATCTGATCAGTGATCACAGAAGTCAAGGCCAGCTTTTATCAGTATCTATAATGTTCTTTTCCTTGTAAGATATACATGGAGAAAATTCCAATCAAAAAGTAAACAAAAACATAAACTACAACACAAAGAGAAAAGAAAAAAAAGCAGATCTCATCCATTAAAAAGAAGAAACTTGTGAGATCAGATACCGCAAGAACTATGTTGCAAAAGTTGCAAGGGATATAGCAGAGTTGCTCAGGCACAACATCGATGCAGCTCGACATATCTTCAAGTGAAAAAACAAGAAGAAGAAGGAGGTGGAGGAGGAGGAGGAGGAGGAGAAGAAGAAGAAATCAAAACCAAAGCTTAGAAGAAGCAAACTCTCTTCAACCTCAATCCTAGAAGAAAGCAACAAAGAAACCCAAATAGTTATCTCTGTAAGTAGCAAAAATCACAAGAGGAAACCAACACTTGCTTTAAACCCGGGCTATGTATAACAACAGTAAGCTAAATATCTCTTTATATAGAAAAAAATTATTCGGAGAGTGAACCAGTAAAAGAGAAAACAAAGAGAGAGAGATAAGATCCAAAGAGGGTAGAGAAAACTCCAAGCTGATATGGTGAAAATAGAAAGGAAAAAAGAGTGGGTAATTTGTACACAAGTGGGCGGCACTGGCAGCAAATGCTGGAACGTGGAAGGGATGATAAAGTGTGATATTTTTGCTCATGGGAAACCGGGTTTAGTTACAGATTGAATTACTTAGTATTGATGAGTTAAAGAGATTAGGGTTTGAAGGAAAAAGAAAAAAGAAAAGTTTGAAGTATTATCAAATACTGTCCAGATTAGGGTTTGTTGCTATTATAATGAAAATGTGACCCTGACCTGCTACATCCTCAGCGGACGATGGGGGCGAAACTTTTCCCTTATCCCATTCCTTTTCTCTTCAACTATATCCATGGGATTTAACCCTTCAAAGCCGGCATTAAGTCGCAGTTCCTGTACGAATTTCAGTATTAGTAACTTTGATATTTAACTTTTTACACCCTGTATATCCGGCCACGGTAAAATGAAATGTTGTTCTCCCTAAATGATTCAAGTTTAGGTGTATATGCATTATTAATAAATTTAAAAAATTCTTAACAAATATCACCTTATAATCACTCTCAAATTATTTAAAGATAATCAAATTTCAAAACTCATCAAGTGATCTCATTGGCAAAAGGAAGTGTTGTTCTCGCTAAAGATCTAAGGTTCAAGCAACTATATCTGTAGTAGGGTGTATACATTATTAATGGTTAAAAATTATGGACAAATATTATCTTTTAATCATCCTAGATTATTAAAAAAAATCAACATGTGTGCCCTTGCTTGATTTGTATCACATTACAACTATAATTGCCTTTTCATTTCTATCTGATATCCGGTTCTAGTTCCATGGGAATGTTAGATTAGATTCTAAGGAATTGTTTTTCATGATAAATTTTGGTAAGAAAAATGTCGTAAATCCCTCATAATTTCAAATTTAACAAATTAATCCTTATTAGGAACCCATTTTAAAAAGTAATAGAGAGCCTACACATCATTTGTGATGGGGCTGGCACGATGAAGTAAAATTGTAAGGGAACATACAGTTTGATATAGAAAGAGTGAATCATAAACGATGAAGCCAAAACGGGAAACATATAATTGTACCATGTGGAGGGTCTTGGATTCTCTATCACAAGGGGGAGTCATGGACCCTATTCACACTTGGATTTCCAAACCGCAACTGTCTTAGTTGTACATAGAAAGAGAAAGTTTATTATGCATTCATCTTTGTAACATCTTTTTAGAAAAAAGAAAGAAAGAAACTAAGATGAGATGAGATCTTGCAGGGATATATTATAGTTTGGATAATGAAATTTTTTGAAAAAAATTATATTGGTTAGTTTAATGATACTATATAATGCTGTAAGATTCTCGATAATTATTATTTTTCATAAATATAAGGTAATTTCGTCTCTTTTGATGAATTAGGGCCTAGCTTGATTTCATGTCGGTCAAGCATAAAGGGTTGGACATATAATAGTATTATTATAAAATAATTTTTTAGTACTGACCAAAAAATAAAGAAATGGAAATGGGATAAAATTTGATTGTATTGTTAAATAGTTACTGTTTTAGAAGTAAATTTGTCATGGTTTGTAATTTTTAAAATTATACGTTGTCTCTAAAATTAATACAATAATTTAAAGGCCTATACGTGTGCGAAACATAATCTTTTTTTTTTTTAAAAAAAATCGATTATACGATTTAGAAATAATTATATTCGAGTAAAGAGTTATATTTAAATAAAACACTACAATGATAATTTTAGGATTTGAACCTAAAAAGAAGTGTACCCACCCGCCCCCTCGATCCATCTCTATTGATACAAACATACTTATTGAAAATAAAAAAATAAAAGAAAATAAAGATACGATATAAGAAACAAAAAAGACGATTAAAAAATTTTGGCGATCGACAATCAACAATCAACATTAGAGTTAGTGTCACTACAGGTCAACCAAAAAGAAAAAGAAAAAGAGATGAACGACACACTAATGAAAAAGTTAGGTTTTTCAAGAAAGAGAAAACTAGAGTTTTTGTAAATGTAATTATTAGGATTTTTTTATTAAGCTAAGATAAATACAAAGTAGTATCTGTTTATAACAGTCAAGAAAACTAGGAATGAAGAATTCCTTCTTACTTGCATACAAAGAAGATTACATAGCTTGTTTATATACAACTATAGTAGTTATAAGATTAACTAACTAACCAAATTACAACAGATTAAAACATCTAACTATAGACTAACTAATTACAGTTTGATATATCCTAATACCCTCCCCTCAAGCTGAAAGTGCATGTATGTTAAGAAAACCCAACTTGGCAATAAAACCACAATGTGTGGGAGGCCGAAGAGTCTTTGTGAAGATGTCAGCCAACTGATCTGAGGAATAAACATGAAGCAACTTCAAAAAACCAGCCTTCACCTTGTCCCTTACAAAATGACAATCAACCTCAATGTGTTTTGTTCTCTCATGAAATACTTGATTAGTTGCAAGATTAATTGCAACCACATGAAATGAAGAGAGCAAAGAAACAAGCCAAACCAATTCACAGGTAGTCATAGCCATAGCTCGATATTCAGCCTCGCAAGAAGATCGACTAACAACATCCCATTTCTTCGATTTCCAAGACACCAAGCTATTTCTAAAGAAAACACAAAAGCCTGTCGTGGAACGTCGTGTATCAGGACAAGAACTATAATCTGAATCAACAAATATACTCAAGTGATCAGTGGACTAAACTGGAAAAAATAAGCCTAGACCAGGAGAGCTTTTTATGTAGACCAAAAGATGCTTCAAGGCAGTTATGTGAGGTAGACGCATAGAGGAAACAAACTGCCTTAATAAATGCACAGTATGAACAATGTTTGGTCTAGTATTAGTCAAGTACAACAAGCGACCTATCAACCGTCGATACTCCTGAGAATCAGAAAGTAACTCTCCTTCATTTGCATTTAACTTCGAGGAAATGAACATAGATTATTCGACTGGTTTAGCACCCAAACAACATGTATCCTCCAGGAACTGCAACACGTATTTCCTCTGGGATAGAACAATACCAAAGCTATTCCTAGCTATTTTAAAGCCAAAAAAATAACGCAAATGCCCCAACTCCTTTAGTTTGAAGTGCTTTTGTAAAAGACTTTGAATTGCATGAAGAACTCGTAGGTCTTCCCCAGCCAAAACAATGTTATCTACATATACTAGAAGAGAAATAAATCCATTTCTATATCCTCTTGTGAACAAAGAGTGTTCAAATGGAGACTGCTGAAAACCAAGTTGAAGAACAACATTAGAAAATGTTGTAAACCATTGCCTGGATGCTTGCTTCAGACCATAAATGGATTTGTGAAGCCTGCATACCATATTAGATCCTTTAAGCTCAGACTTGTATCCAGTAGGTAATTTCATGTAGACCTCATCATCTAATATGCCATTTAGAAAGGCATTATTTATATCTAGTTGTAACAAATGCCACTTACGTGTTGTTGCAAGAGAAAAAAAGACTCGAAATGAAGTCATCTTTGTAACTGGTGAGAATGTGTCCATGTAGTCGATTCCCTCAACTTGTGTAAAACCCTTAGTAACCAACCTGGCTTTACAACGATCAGCCGAACCATCAACATTATACTTCACCCGATAAACCCATTTGTAATCAACAACATTCTTTCCATCGGATAAATGAACAATGGTCCATATTTCAAGATTCTCCATAGCTCGAAGTTCATCATCCATAGCATTTATCCAAGTTAGAGACTTGACAGCTTGATGATAAAAAGATGGATCAACAATAGTTGAGATATTGGAAACAAAAGCTCCATACTCAATTGAAAGTTTCGAAGAAGAGATAAAATTTTCGATAGGATATAAGCATTTAAAGGAGGCATTATTGCAATAATATTGCTGAAGATAGGATGGCTTCTGAATAGTGCGAGAAGAACGTTGAATTGGTACTTAAACATGATCAATGTGTAGGGAAACATCATCATTCGAGGCAGTAGGTCCAAGAAAAACATCATCATGCGAGTCAGTAGGTCCAGGAGAAGCACCATCATTCGAGTCAATAGGTCCAAGGGAAGCACCATAATTCGAGTCAGTAAATCCAAGAGAAACATGTCTAATCTCATGTACATATGAAGCATCAACCTTGTTATGTATAACTCTTGGTAAGAAAAAGTCCTGGAAAATGTCAACAGAATGGTTAGCCAAACTTATATTTTGAAAGGAAAACAATCCTTCATGAAATACCACATTTCAAGAAACAATAATCTTCTAATTTTGTAACACATATACTCGATACCCCTTCACACCTGGAGGATATCCAAGAAAAACAATAGGCAAAGCTCGAGCTGAGAACTTATCTTGTTGAGACTTTAATGTGGAAACAAAACAAAGACAACCAAAAGCTCATAGCCTACTATAATCTGGTAAGTGACTATATAAGACTTCATAAGGAGATTTATTGTTCAATACAGGTGATAGAAGTCTATTAATTAGGTATGTTGCAGTGAGTAAACAATCACCCAAAACTTGATTGACACCTTTGATTGGAAATACAAAGCACGAGCAATAACCAATAAGTGTTGATGTTTCCTTTCAACTGCAGAGTTTTGTTGAGGTGTTTCCACACATGAGAACTGATGAATTATACCCAAGTTAGCAAACAACTCAGTAAAATTTAATTCAGGAGCATTATCAGACCTGAAAGACTTTATATCAAGCTCAAATTGTTTCTTTATCATGGATATAAACGCATGTATAATTATGCTGACATCATATTTATGTTGCAACAAATGAAGCCTGACCAGAATATGTTTTGTGCTTATAAGGTCCCCATATATCACAGTGGATTAATTCAAACAATAGTGTGGTATGAGAACAAGAAACTGTAAATGACAATCTTTGTTGCTTGGTCGATGAGCAAATTTGACAAGAATCTTTCATTTTTACATTTTTTAAAGACAAAACATCCTTAAGAAGATGCATAACATAAAGACTGGGATGACTCAATCTATTATGCCAATCACTAGACAAAGCACTAGAAACACTATTACATGAAATATTGGTTTTGAAGGAAGACATATGCAGTAAGTAAAGTCCTTGAACCAGCTCACCCTTCTCAATTACTTGATGAAGGTCCTGAATTAAGCAATCCATTTTGCAAAACAACACACTAAGATCAGAAGATTTCAATAGTGCACTAACTGAAAGCAGATTTAATCGAAAATCTGGAACAAGCATCACATCATGTAAAACAAGATCAGATGAAAACCAAATTGTGCCTGCAAAGCTAACTGGAATGATGAATCCATTAGGTAAGGTGACTGAACAATTTGTTATGGGAAATAGTGATTCAAAGAGAGTCCTTGAATAACATATATGTCTTGAAACCCCAAAATCTAAAATCTAGTAATAAGACATTCCAACACCTGAACCATTTATGTGTGACATGATCTTACCTTGCAAGGCAATATTAATTGAAGTGGTAGGAATATCCAAAGACGATGGAGTTTGTAAATGAGAAGTAAGCATGGCAATTAATTGCTGACATTACTTAGGAGTAAAGGCTTCAGTAACAGTAGAAGAACCTTGCTGGGAAACCACAAAATTGGTGTGAACTACTTAAAAACCTTTACCACGAGAAGAATTCGAAGAAGACCAATTCTTGGAATTGTAACCAGGTGGATAATCAATCAATTTATAACACTTGTCCTTTGTATGACCAAGAATGTTACAACGACTACACAAAGGTATGTTCTTACGAGTGTTAGTGCCATAATGAGCCTTGACAATAAAGGTAGGCTCATAAATGGGATGAAGAGATTGCATATTTATTTGATTCTCTTCTTGAACAACCAAAGAAAAAACTTTTGAAATGGGAGGAAGGGGATCCATTAAAAGAATCTTCCCCCTGATATGAGCATAATACTAATTCAACCCCATTAAAAACTGAATGACTTGTTCTTGCTATTGTTTAGCAAGAATGCGTTGTACTCCTCCACAATTACGTTGGAGACAATCAGACAACTACATAATTGTCGAATTGAAAACAGTTCATCCCAAACAATTTTCAACTGAGTATAGTAATTACTTACTGACATCTTATCTTGCATGAGCTCACACAATCGCTTCTTTAAGTGAAACAATCGTGGTCCATTCGACTGCTAGAAATGATCAACCAAGTATTTCCACATTTCAGCAGCAGTCGTATGATACAGTAAACTTACAACAATGTCTTTGGAGACTGAATTGAGAAGCCAAGAATTGACCAAATTGTTGGCTCTTGTCCAAGCATTGAACTGGATTACCATGGATGAGTCAGGAGCTTGAATGAAACCATCAATGAAACCAAGTTTGTTCTTGGCGGATACGACAAGCATCATTGATCTTTTCCATCTATGAAAATTATCATTGGAAAGCAGCTGGCTCACTAATATCATACCAGGATTGTCAGATTGATGCAAATAATAGGGATTTGTCCCATTATCGAAACTGTCATTCAATGATTCAACCATGATGAAGCGTGAAACGAAAGAAACAAACTACTGATACCATATAACAATCAAGAAAACTAGGAATGAAGAATGCCTTCTTACTTGCATACAAAGAATATTACATAGCTTGTTTATATACAGCTATAGTAGTTATAAGATTAATTAACTAACTGAATTACAACATATTAAAACAACTAACTATAGACTAACTAATTACAGTTTGATATATCTTAATATTGTTCTAAATACTCTCAACCATTTGATAATGAACGTTCAATTACTCTACACAGCCGCTGATGCTCGAACCCGTGACCTTTAGGAACAACAATGGTTCCTTTAACCATAGGTTGGTTCGTGCAATTATTAGGATATATTTCTTTGTCAACTTAGGCAACTTGATTGATAATATAAGGTGAGCAATGCCTGGTAGGGTCGAGTCGCTTTCTATGTCTGCTGCAATAAATAATCATCAATTTCTTAATGGCAATACTAATTTTATGTTACAAGTACGTTGTTTCTAAATAAATGTTATAATACGTCATATTTGTCGTTATTTAAAACAGTTTTATTAAAAAAGTTCTCTAGTATTTTTATAATTACATATTTTATATTAAAAATATTATTTAAATTTGACTTTATACTTAACTTCCTTAATTAGAATTGGTTTTTGATAAACCTACCAATTAACATACAATTATACTTTCAATCCTTGTATAATACACAAAGATTATGCGACTCACCTACATGTGAAGGCTTGGTATTGAAGGTAATTAATTTGCTTGGAAAAATAGCAACCTCTCAACCTTCTAAGTTTGCCTGTCTTCATTTGGTTTTAAGAGGACAATAACACCAGTTATCTAATCTCTTAGTTTGTGGTCCTGTTTGCTCTTTAATACATTTTTGTTTCATTTGAATATTTCGGATCGAGTTCGAGATATAATTTGAGAGAAAGGACAAATCTGTTTATTTTATATAAAATATGTTATATTTTCAAATGTACATAAATATATATATGATTTTATGTCAAGCAATTCGAGCTTATTAAATATGTTAGGGAGAGGAATTTTAAAATTTCAAGGAACGAAAATAAATTATCTTTAGAAAATACTTAAACTACACGAAAATTTTAAATTTTCAAGAGACTATCACTCTCGCCATCTCTCCTCAATCCATCTTTAGAGAAACGTATACAAGAATGAATCGTGAGCATCTTATAATATATTAAAATATGATTTTAATTAAGTTATATTCTACTAAAATTACAATTTAATATATTAAACTTATCTTTTAGTTCAATTGTATATTATTTTTAAAAATATTTGTTTAGGTGAACTATATTCTAATAAAATATTTAAAATAACTTATTTGTCATAATTATCTTTAAACGGGTTTCTTTAATAATATATATATATATATATATTAATTATAGTTTCCAGATGTCATTCATGTAGCCCCCGAGTCATCATTCAGGTGAGATTAATTGCGATACTATTTTTATTATCTCGTGGTTTCCATGTTAGAATTAACTGCATTATTATTGCATAAAAATATCAAATATATATATATATTGCGTTATTAATGTTCTCTTTTAATATTGATTGAGTAATGATGAAATTGAATTTATATAAGTGTAAGAAATTAAATCGTACCATAAATTTCAGATATTATTTTTGTCTTCATTAGTGTTATATATTTATTTCTTTTGTTATATCTATTATTTTAATGTGTATTTATTTTCCTGTAGAGGCATTAATTAAGTATAAATATGAAAAAGTTATGACTTTTTATAAGTCTCACTACCTAATGCTTTAAATGTAGTATCTATACTATATTATAGTATATTTAAACCTTTGATTGGATTAATATTAGAAAATAATCAAGCATTAATTTAATTAAAATATTATTAAAATATTCATAATAAATAAAAAGTATAAAATGCATGCAATTGATTTAGTAGATCTATTAAGATAGTGGTTGGAAACTTGATTTTCAGAATTTAAATTTAAACTTTAAAAACGATGTAAATTAAATTATAAAATATTTAAAAATATAACATTCTTGATTATTTCTTCATCCCATAGATTTGTTAATTAGACGTTTAATAAATTTTAAAGATTAAAGGTGGTCAAATTAGAATAGAAAGACTAAATCCATAACTCACATAACAATTTCGAACGAAATGACTTTGGTGGTAAACAAATTGTTGTTATTCCTTGTGATATCGGGTTTGAACACTAGAAATATTAGAGGTGTGAGCGTTCAAACGCTAATGGTTGAGAGTTATCTTTAAACATATACTACCTTATACTTACTCGATATTAATAATAATAAAAAACTCTCAATAGGCCGCGCATATAAGTCGGTAGCTATAAGCTTTGATTTATTTTATGTATTACTAATATGATAATACATGAAAATGGTGTCTAGAATGTGACCGAATTGCAATAGTTTGAAAACATTAAGAAACAGGGAACGTTTTGGCCTTGTTCACTGCAACAACACATAAAAGGTATCTAGAAAAGTGTGCTGTTATTTCTCTTTTGACATTAACGAAGCTTGCTGCCTCATGACTGCTGCATGTTGTGTACGTACTGTTTGAAATTAAAGTCATCGACCCTTTTTTATTACAAATTTAAGTGCTGCATGCCATTTAAATTAGGGCTACGACTCTGCAACTGTCTGTCTGCTTCGTTAGCCGTGGGGACGACTTTCCCTTTTCCCATTTTCATAGGCCTCTACATAACGTTTTTCAACGCACAAGTCTAATCGATGTATCAGTAGTAGTTAGCTTTTTGAATATGAAAACATATTGTAAAAGAGAAGTATATAAGTAGAAGTAAATTAATTATATAAGTTGAATATAATGGTTAAACACCTAAAACAAGATTGACAAAAATTAAAAATTTAATCAAACAATTGGTCTAGTGGGATGAAGCATCGGATCTTTTAAACAAAGTTAAGGGTTTGAATTCTGGAGATTGAGAATGGAGTAAATTGGATTGAGAGGGTGACGCTTATATTTGTAGTACCCGATCCGGATTAGTCAAATAATATATCAAATATTGATGGTTATATCAAATAAATAAATATTTTTAACGAGACTCACAATCTAAGTCTAAGATTCTACGATTTAATCTTCAATAAAACCATATTACCTAGTAAAAACTAAAAATAAAAATCTATTCATCATGAGAAAGATAACCCAAGAGGACAAAAGTGAGAGAATGACAAGGTTTTCTTATGGTTGTCAATTTTAATAATATTTTCCCTAATGTTCGAATATAAATTTTATCATTAAAAATATAATATATTATATCATTATACTCGAAAATTATTAATACATTGATAAATTATATAATATAATATGATATTATAATTGTTTCTACTATTTAATTATATTTGTGTACTGTATTTAACCGAATGGTGTGATGGTGCCACGTTACCAATAAGAATTGAACGTCTTCATCTTTCAGTTTCCCTGGGATTGTTCTCCATGTTCTTTAGACTTAAATGATTTACTATGAAATTGCAATGTGGTTAGAAACTTTATAAAATATCTACGGGTTGGTTCAAGTGGTAAATAATTTGATATCGCTTAAGTATATCTCGAGTTCGAGTAATTGTGTATACAGAAAATCTCCGCTGGGAGCCTCACCCACTATAGTCAAATGTATGATCCAGATCAATCTAAATTAGTCCAGACGAAACCTTAAAAACTAGAAGCGCGATAAAAAAAAACTTGTATGAAATGATATGCGTGGGCGAAGATGTGGAGTTTAATCCTCATGTGACATGTTGTGTTATATAATGTCAAATCTCATGCGATTACGTCCTTTGATTTGGATAGTTCCTCGGAGGGGTTGCTTTTAATCTTCGTCACGACACCCAATCCATCTACAAATGGAAATTAAAACTAATTACGTAATGCTCATTACCATGTATTTCTCGACACCATATCGACGAAGTCTACAAAATCCTCAAACGTATTCATTAGTAGATTTATTGTCCGATATAAAATTTTATGTTTTTTCTTGATCAGATAGTTGTTGTTCATATAATTTTTTTTTATTTTTTTTGTAATTATTATTATCTAATTTATTAATCAATTAATCTACACGGATATTACAGAAGTGATGGTGAACTCTTGACCCAATTATCGTTCATATTTATTATTTGAAAATTCATTAAACGATTCAAGATCAATAAAATCGATTGAATCGTCAGACATTTAAAAATTATACAAAAAGAATTTGATTGCATTAATCACATATCAGTTACCAAATAACAAAATTTAAAGGCGACATGTACTAACACGCAACATATTGCAGACTTTAGTTTAGTCGTAAATTCGATTAATTTTAGTTATGGTACTAACAGTGGCGGATCGAGAAATTAAAAAATGGAATCCAAAATTTTAATACCCTATTCTAAAAAAATTTGGGTATGCAAATTTTCTTATTTTTTTTATATTCCTATTAACAAATTAAACTAAATTTAATATTTTTCTCAAAATAATATGTGTACAATGCTCTCCTAGGGAGCCATGTACATCCGCCCCTAGGTACTAATATGTGCAACACTTTCAACTCAATTTAATCAGAAACCAACAAAACAAATATCATATTGAATGATCAAAATTTAGTCACGATCGAATCAAAACTAAGGGTCTGTTTATTTGGGGAAAACCAATTACAGAATTGGGTTTTCCCGAAATCTTATGTTTGTTTCACGTAATTCGTTTTCCAATAATGTTTTTCAGTGTTTGGTTGGAGGAAAACTGGTTGATCAACGTAAAACATTTTTCTGATCAACATAATTTCTTTTGTTTTTCTGGAAAATGACTTACAGTCTGATTTTCCGTAAGCCAGTTTCCGAACTTTTCACTTCAAATAATAAATACTCAAAATAATTTTATTTTATGAATTTAATATTAATAAAATATTTTAATATCATTTTAATCAAAATATTAATTATGAAAATATTAAAATATATTTATTAATATTTCTAATAATATAAAATTATATTTTTAATATTATAATAAAATAATCAATTATATTATAATAATATAAGATATTATATTTTTATTTTAATAATATATAATAAATTATTAATAAAATTTATATTATTTATTAATTTCATAGAAACAATATTATTAAATTATTAATAATGAATAATATTATTTATATATTTAATATTAATATAATAATATTTTAATAAAGATATTTAAAATATACTAATTAATATTTTTAAAATATAATATAACACTATTACTTTAATAAATAATTAATATAATTTATGATATTTTTGTTTCAATAAAATATACTAATTAATATTTTTAAAATATAATATAACACTATTACTTTAATAAAAAAATTAATATAATTTATAATATTTTTGTTTCAATAAAATATACCAATATTAATATTTTTATTAATAAAATTATAAAATTAATATTTAATAATAAATAAATTATTTTAATTTTTTAAAAATAATTATATTAAGTTTTATGATAAATAATATTATTATTGTATTTAATATTTGTAATAAATAATTTTTTAAAAAACTCATCAACTAGTAGAAAAAATGTTTAAACAACATCTTCCAAACATCGTAAAACGTTTTCCAGAAAATGTAATTCATTTTCCAGAAAACCAATTACAGCCAAACAAACATACCCTAAATCAAACAATTAAACATTTAATTACTTTAAATTTTAGTATTTTAACCTTTCTACTTTTTTAATTTTAAAATTTTAAATCTAACTGTTAAAGTTCTACGATTAAATCAATAAATTTAATAAAAAATTGAAATTAAAATTAGGATGAAATATCAAATGTACAAAAAGTGTATAGACTTCGAACATATTTTAACCCTTGTTAAAACTACGGTTTAAGGTGAATTTTCTACCCTCTTAAAAGCTATCTTATTTGGTTTTATAATTACGGTCTCCTTCATGGAAATAGTATTCACCATTCAGTAATTGTTCTACCTACATCGGCTGTGCTTTTATAGTTAGCAATTAAGACAGATGTAATTCTCTGTCAAACTTTTAAATTTCGATAATCAAAACCTCTCATAAAAAATCTATTTAACTAAATTATATGTTATTTATTTAAATATTGTTCAATAAATCAGAATTCAAACTCTAAATTTGATTAAACTAACATAAAATAGCATCTTGACCCAAAACCTAAGTTGCATTATGATAACCTGCTTGATGCACAGATCGATGCAGCCTATGCTGTATTAGAAGATGCCGGATTTGAAAAGATGGAAGTGATAGTCACTGACACTGGGTGGGCTTCACATGGAGATGAAAATGAATCTGCAGCAACCAAAGAAAATGCAAGGACATATAATTACAATTTGCGAAAAAGACTTGCAAAGATGAAAGGAACTCCGATGAGGCCAAAAAACTTGGTTAAGGCATATGTGTTTGCAATCTTCAACAAAAATTTGATGCCTGGACCAACTTCTGAGAGGAATTTTGGACTGTTTAAACCCGATGGGAGCATTTCATGCGATATTGGATTTCATGGTCTTAAATCTTCATCTGCAGATTCATTACTTTTGCCTTTGAAGGTATGAGATTCTCTCCCACCCTTGGCATATGTCATCTTAGCTATGTTAACCTTTTGCGGATTAGATTTGAATGTTCTCTGACAGAAGATGCATATTCTTGGAACAATATAAATCTGTCTTGTTCTTGGTGTGCCAGTTATTTTGTTCTCTCTTACATCAGTTTCCACTTATGAGCTTGATTTATCTTCTCATTAGCTATCAGCTTAGAGGTATTACCTTCCTCATTGCATAGATCAGAGGGAGAAGGGGGGGGGTAATGAACAATCATGACCATATGGAGAGCTTCTGATTTTAAATTGCTGTAATCAAATTCAACAAATCATAATAACATGCTTTTATAAAGGCAATGGTGCAAGTCATAAAATAATCCTATGTTATTTGCCCAAAGTTCTTAGGTAGTGATCCTCCTGTATTACTTCCCCTCTCCTACCTGTGTGAAAGCAAGGTTCTCTAGTTTATATAAACCAATGAGTAAGCAAATCATAGAGTGACAGTAATGCAGTGGAGAGATTGGATGCAGTCATCCTAGTTAAGATTAATCTCCTTTTATGTAATGCATCGGTTCTCCAATTTGCTATTTTTTTTTTCGTTCAGTCTACCTGCTACCGGACCAAAACATATTAATGTTCATATGATGCTGGAACTGGAAGGATTCCAAGCACCCGATAGAGGGGTGAATTCGGTGGCAGGAATTGTAGTATCCTTTTCCAAACCATTACAGCCAAACTGTTTCGGGAATTTGCCTGCTCTCTGAGTTGCTAATTTGCTTCTGTTTGCTTTGCAAAACTTTAATCCACTAACCATCAATGCACTACTTATTAATCATCAGTTCAAATGTGTACGAACAGTCCCTCTTTAGTCTTTACAATGCAGTAGAACTTTTATTAAGCACAACCGAAAAACCATACCATTGCACCATTGCTACATGGGAAAGCATTTACTTCTGTAGAAGCATCTGTTTCGATATAATTTGCGCTATCTTTAACTTACTAGCACTGTATTCGTACTTGTTACCATGCTCACTCTGATTTCTTGACAAAATGAACGTAATCCCCAATGGCGAGTCAATAAAATAATTGGAAACAGCTAAAGGGGCAAACCATAGTTGAGTTTAGTTGTACACCAAGATGATTGGGACCAATGGATAGCTTCTTTTTCCTGTACTATTGGAAAGATGAAGTGCAAATCAGACTATCGGTCTCATTTTGATTTAGACCTCGTCCCGGAGCAGCAAGTCTAACAGTCCAAGTCAAAAGGAAAGTGAATATAATATGAAAACTACTGAAACCATGAAGATATATGTTCCCCATCCATGATACTATTAGATTATTAGACAAAAAAGGCAGTCTTTTGATGACTTATCTGTAATTCTGTGTTCTTTGTCAATGAAGTAATAAAAGGATGTTGCTTGTATGTAGTTTAGTGATTCATTTGTCTGCAACAACTTGCTCGTTCAATATCACAGCAAAAGTAAACGATGTATGGTTTTTCTTCATCCTGTTTCATTGTACATCCGCATGAACTTTTGCAGGATAATCGAGGTCGCGGTTGGTGCGGATGCTGTTCCATAATGGCTACTGCATTCCTGCTTGTGTTGTCAAGATAGTGATTAAAATTGGGTGGGATGCCAAAGCCAGCACCCATTAATTCTATACTTATAGATTTGCTGTTGGTTTACTTATCTTCCTTTTTTACTTCAGAAAACATACCAATACACCTGATTTTTGGATCTTTAGTAACACGATTAAAATTAACGTTAATTGCTTTAATATTTTCAGTCGAATCACATCTAAAGAAAATCACTAAAAATAAGATAAAATTATTAACATTCATTAGTTAAAAGCTCTTAAAAAAATATAAAATATTATTTTAAAAATAATAAAATAATTGAAAAGCAACCATCCTAGAATGGTTAATATTTTCCCATACTATGCTAATTAGCATTCAACTAATGCTTTGACATTTTCAGTTTCATTTTGGATTTTCTAACAAATTGATATGGTTCTGTAGTCTGTTCTAAGCCTCTACTTTACTATTATTTTGGGTAAAGTATATGTTTATTACCTAAATCATTAGTTGTATTTCGTTTTAGTATTTTAATTTTATTTTTTCTAAAATCATATTTAACTTCTAGTTTAAATTTTAATTTGATATCCACTGTTAAAAAATTAATAGAACGACCGATGTGATATTTTTATTTTTCAATGATGATGTGACACATCATATCACCATTAATTTTTTAAACAAAGGATACCAAAATGAACTTAAAATAAACGTTAATTATGATTTTGAAAAAATAAAGTTTGAATATTAAAACAAAACAAAATTAATAATTTAAATTTTATCCTATTATTTTTTAGGTTGAAGGCTTGAGATTAAAAAGGGTTAACTATTGATTACTTATGTTTGTGTTTTATCCATTTTTTCTCATTGATTTTAAAAAATATAATATATGATCACTTTCAATTTTATTTAATTAAGATATGGTCACTATCATTTTTATTTAATTAAGATGTGCTCATCACGGGTTAAATGTCCTTAACGGTTAACATATTAGGTGACGTGATAGTTAAATATTTTGGTATAATCATACATTTAATCTCTGTTATTTTGGTATAAAAATATTAGATGAATGACTAAATTGAGATAATATGTAAATAACATAGATCAAATGTGTGATTATATCAAAATATTTAACTGTTAAATGTTAACGACAGTTAACCCGTGACGACTACATCTTAATTCAATAAAAATGAAAACCACCTTAAATTATGTTTTCGAAATCAACTAAAAAAGTGGACAATGTACAAAAATAATAATTATATATAATAAAAATTGCTATGGTTCTATAGTCGGTTGTCAAGGCCTCTACTGATTGACACATTATATACACAGCAGAAGACAAGACAGAGATTGTGGAAACAGAGAACGCAGCACATGCACAAAACCAGAAAGAAAATGGCTACGGAAATGAGGAGGGCAACAGTTATTTTAGTTTTGGCTTCAACCCTAATCCAGTTACAGAACACGTACGCCACAACAACTTATACTGTAGGAGATTCATTTGGATGGCAAATCCCAACCGCTAATCCCAATTTATACGGTGATTGGGCCAATAACAAAACCTTTGTCGTCGGCGACGTTCTTGGTGAGTTTCTTAATTTCCTCGAAAAAACAAAACCACAAGGTTTCGAAACACGGGTTCAGTTTAATTTCCGGCTGTTTTGTTTGCAGTGTTCAATTTCACTACAGGGCAACATGATGTTTGGGAGTTGACGGAACCTGGTTACGACGCATGCACCACGTCGGACACCATCTTAACCGTGAACAAAGGACCGGCAAGAATTACGCTCCCAAGTACCGGTGAGCATTACTTTATCTGCGCTTACCTTGGTCATTGCTCCGCCGGCCAAAAGCTCAAGGTCGACGTCCGAGATGGTGGCGGCGATACACCGGCCGGAGTTCTTAGTCCTCCCGGCGCAGCTTCGTCCCTTGTTGCCACCATGTCCCTTGTCTCTGTGTTCATCGCCTTTGCTTTGTTGTGCTAATTGTGTTGATCCCTTTTCATATTCCTTCAGTTACGACTTACAAGTGTGATCATGGAATAAAAACTTTGATTCAATCAATTCGATTATTTTCGTCATTAGTATTCATTATCAATAATAATTCAAAATTATGGTAAACATAATACGACTAAAAATTATTTATTTATTAATCAACATGTTAGTTTAATGAGTAAGTAATTTGATATCGTTTAACTATAATTTCAAGTTCGAGTTATTGTATATATAAAAAAATCTTACTAAAAACTCATCCATCAAAATTAGGTGTACAATCCAGGTCGTCTTAAGTTAATCAGGATAAAACCTTGAAATCGGAAGAGAAAAATATTTTAAAGATAATATTGTTAGAAAAAATAGAAGAAGTAAAAAAAAATTAAATATGATATCAGCATTTAAAAATATATTAATTTTTTAAGTTGATGAGATTAGACAGAATGCTAATTATTTTCGAAGTGATATTGATTTTATTTTTAATATTTTTATATAAAATTTATAAACAAATTTTCCTTAATCTTTTTAGGGCAAAGTACATAAATGGTATCATGACCATAAGATATTGCTTTATTAAGTCTCTGGTTATAAAAAGTTACAAAATAGTCATTCGACTATTGGGAGTTGCTTTATTGACTCCCTTGACTATTAAATGTTACAAAATGATCACTGACTGTTAATTATGTTTCAAACTTGTCATTTTCCTTTAAAAATTTGACGATAACCTGAGTTGTACGTTAATCCGGTGACTAAGATATGATAAAATATGATCACATTATCTCAAACGACTATCATATCCCCTGTTAGCATGTTAATGTCAACTTATTGTTAATTTCTTAACGAAAAATGACGAGTTTGGAATATAATGAATAGTCAAGTGATCATTTTGTAACTTTTAATAATCGATGGACTCAACAAAGCAGCTCCCTACAGTCGAGGGGTCATTTTGTAACTTTTAACAGTCAAGGAATTCAATAAAGTAGTATCCTATAGTCGGGGATCATTTGTGTGTTTTTTTTATTATCAATTAACACTCCATTCATAAAAGCATTCATAGAAAATCGTCCCTGGTCTAATCTTTCTTGAATTCAAAAAGCACAGTTATTGCTACGCATGTACTAGAGATGCCCCAAGCTCATTTTTACCTGCTAAAGGTCCCATTCCCACTACCTCCCATTACTGACTTTAGGTTTGTTTATTTGAAAAGGTGCAGACTTTTGATGATATTCAGACTAGTTTAGCATTGATGGTTACAGTGGCAACCGGTCTTCAGATGAAAAGTTGACTAGTTATGATGAGGACCGGTTGTAATCAACTCGTGGTTTGACTCTCTTTTTATTTTAGAAAATAAATGCTCTCCAACGGAGTCGTCAAGTTATCATAACCGGTCCTGTCGTTAATCGGTTTTTCCTTCGAAGGGCCGATTGTGACAATTACAAAATCAGTTCATCTTTTATTCTTGTATTTGTCTCTAGCACCTTCATCCATTAACAAAGTGAGGATGCCACTTAATTACATAATTTGAATTAGGTAATTACTTTTTTGAACATTGGTTATGAAGATATCTTAAAACAATTACAAAATAAAACGTTAGAAATTTATCTTAATAAAAAAATTCAAATATTTAAAGTAAAAAGAAAAACATAACATTGTCCTTTCTACTTTGTGTATTCAAAAAAAGAAAAAAGATTTATGGTTATTTTTTGGATAACAATCTTCAATATTCTAACATGAATTTTCTCTTAAATATATTTTATTATTGTATCCACCACTTGTAGATTTAATTATTTTAAATGTAATAATTATAACAAAAAAATTAACCAATGAAAACGTAGTTTCGAGTGTGATTGAGAGCTGATGTATCCTAATCCGATAAAGAGAAGTGCAATGGGACCAAGACCAACCCGGCAAACAGATTTTATCCATTGCGTGGCTTGACCCTTCGGCATTCCTTCCCATACAATTGGCGGCTTGTGGCTGGGGAATGCCTGCCTATGGACAAATTCTAAATTACTCCTTAAAACTTTAAAATAGTTCGATTGAAGAACCGCTTTGGACCAATTTACAATTTAACTCATAATTTAGGGACATTTGATGTATTTAACCCATGAAATAAAAATAAAAAAAGTGGCAGAACCTGTGGTTGGAAATGTGAAGAAGCTCCACTTTATTCTCCCTAACATTCAACTGATATTACTGTGGTAATAACACAAGGTGAAGGTGAAAAAAAAAAGAACAGATATTATCCACATAACAGGGAGGCAGTCTTTTTCAGAAGATTGGGGAGAGAAAGAGATGTCTTATCAACCACATCTTTAAAGCTTGGTGGAGTCTGTCACCCCACCACACACCGCATGGGAATGTGTTCAGCCTTTGTACTCTACATTCTCTCTTTTAAGTGGAATCTCCCTCAATTTTAAAACCCTACAAAGCTCCAAAATGGGGAAATAGTGAGAAAAGGCCAACATGTCTTATCTTAGACATGATCAAAGTGAACCACCAAATGTGATTCCTGGTTCAAATGGGTGAAAAGGGAGAGCTCAACACTAGCATTTGCCTTGTTCAAAAAAATCAGAACGCATAATGGTGTAATCCTCAAAGCAAACCACTCGTCTTTCTGCATAGGTAATAATAAGCTAGATCTGTTGATCACAGAGGCTAATGCATGAAAGTTATTTCTACAAAATAACTAATAAACTCTGCAACCAAAGATTCCTTCTAGCGTGCATCTGAAAAACCTATTAAGTTGAATGTTAAACGAGAAGAGCGTCTAATTACTCGTCTCATCATCAAACCACAAAGACATGCTTGTGACCCTTGCTCCAAACCGTGCTCCTTTCTTCCCGCAAACTATCTCCAGTTCTTAGAACACTCGGACTCGGGCGCTTTCTGCCATCCTGATCCCCAAAGCAAGTGACTTAGCAAGCAGCGAATTGCACTAGAAAGTAGGGCTCAACCTAACCTAATGCCAATAAGTAAAAAGTGCCCTCCCATGGTTACCTTGAGAAGCTAGCATTCAATTCAACAAGACGTTCTTGTACAAACATGCTAAAATCAACCCGTGCCCGTTAAGGTGACAAGGAACATAAAGTCTGAAAAGTTGGATTTATGATTCATGATCAACACTTCATTATATGAGAACTTGGGTATATATTTCTCTCCATTTCATAGTTTCAAATAGCTAATAATTTGTCTAAAATACGTATAACTCTTTTCCTATTTCATTTGTTTCCTGACCTTTGTGCATGTAGAAACCTATAAATCGTTCCACATACGTAGAGAAGGTAAATGTTACTTATATTGTTCTCAGCTGATAAAAAATATTTATTAAAATGTTCGAGCAATTAGATGTGTCATGAGAATTAGATCATCCAACTATTAGATATCAATCATGCTAAAAAAAATTATTTACAGTTCACTCTCTGCTGCACTCCAAAAATGCAACTCATGGTAAGCATTTAAATTTTACAAGCTCTCAAAAGCCACTAATTTTTAAGGACAAACTACAATTAAAACTATCATCTACAAACCTGGTCCATTTCTTCTATTATTAGTCGACGACCCTGGTAGCCTGCAAAATTATTCATCTTCTGAGCTGCCTCCAAATGTTGCCTTACGTTCTCTCACTGTGCCCCAAAATTGTTATCTTCATTTTCCATGAAGCACTTTCTTGAAGATGAAACAAAATGGTCATTAACAGTCCTCTCTGGGAAAAAACGGAACTCTTTACTCGTTTGTTGAAAAGCATCATTAAGTTTGCTCCCGCCTTGAGCGCAGCTTGGACCGACGTCTTTGGCTTCACAAATATAATTCTTTCCTACTTGCATACAAGGGTCAGAAAATAGACCCAGCCGCAAGGACAAATCACATTCTTTTGCAAATGACTTATTGTGGGTGTGCCCGACATCTTGCTGTCCAATTCTCTTACCACCAACATCGGCATCAGAAGAAAAAAAAATCTGCAAGGAACCCCTTTCAGCTGGCTCTAAAACAGATGTACCATAGGTCTCCCAACAATTATCATATCAGGCACTATATTTTCCTGAACAGGGGAACCTGTATGGAGTTCTACATTTTGATAGTGAACTCCATAGTACAGGGGGTAAGCTTGACCCAAGTTTGGTGGGGTGTTGGTTTCTTTCCTCATCAGTTGGCCACTGCCAGATGGACCATTTTCAGACAGAAATGGATAACCATGAAGGTTAGTTTGCGAAACCGAAACATTTGAATTCACTTTGGTTGCTATTCTTGCAAATTGACTGCCTGGCTGAACTGGCGATAACTGAGGACACCATTCCTCACTGCCTTTATCCAAAATCCTAGGCACTGCAGGGACAGGTTCGGGTGCTCTTGGAGTAAGATAAGTCCTAGGATGACAGTGTCGTTGGCTCCTTGAAGCTCTCACCGGATAGCACCCCAGATTAAGGGCAGCTAAAACAACATATGTACTACAATCTTTCAGTCCAAATTGTTCTTGAAAATGGTTTCAATTTGAAAAGTTCATAAAGTTGCAGCTAAATGCATGATCAAAACGAGACAACCCGATAAATAATAATAAACTCAAATCCAAAAATGAGTAGAACATGTAAAATCTAAAAAAAATTCGCTAGCACCTTCAACACAAGGTGGCAAAAGCTCCCCTGTTTCAGTGCTCTCATCTCGACGGATAATCGTGTTGACGGCATCATTAACACGGTCCCATAGGGTTTCCGGGTTCGTGTATTCAGCCTAAAAATAACGTTAAGAGAAGAGCAAAATTAAGCTGAAAAGTGAATAAAGAACAAAACGATCCACAAAACTGAAAGGAGAAAAGAACCTCAGAATTGGCTTTGGAATACATAATCTCCTCAGCTTTGAAGATGACAGTTAATATTTTATCTTGCCATTCCTTGTTCTTCTTAGTAGCCGTGCAATGAGTTTCCATAGCTAGCCTAAAATCAAACACATGGCATGCATGGAATTAAACCCCCTCCCCAAAAACCACTAAATAATGCTGCTTAAAGTGTAACGAAATTAAAGACCCAGAACCTCAAAATCTGTTGAATGATGGAACCTCTCATGGGTTGGTGTCTTTCGCTATGCCAAGCTCTTCTTACACACTCGTAAGGTCTAGGGCCTGGCCTTGGCATCTTTGATCTCTCTTCTTCAATGGCAAAAGAAAAATCTAGTCGGGCAAAACAAGAGAGACAGCGAGAGAAGGGGAGGAAAGAGTAGGTACTTGGAGGCTTACACAGAAGAAAGTATTAAAAGATGGCAAGGAAGAGAGCAGTGTTTTTACACGGGGGTTGATGGAAAAGATTAGTCAATCCCTTGATGATGGGTTTTGGACTTTCTTCTTCCCCAGTCTGCAACCGATGGAGAGGAAGAGAAAGAGAGGGATCAGAGGTGGAGGAGTTAAGGTTTGGTTTCTTTTGGGAAGGGAGCAGTACAAGGAGAGTGAAAGAAATGGTTCGTGCCTTTGTCTTGGGCCCCAATAATTTAACAGAGTTTACCATTGTTTACACACTTAACTGCCAGCTTTTTGGGGTCATTCTATGCTATAATAAATTCAAAAGCTTCGGGGCTGGGAATCAAAAATAAAAATGCGGGAAATCGCCATTAAAATCTCCCCCGGCCCCAACACCACCGTCGGTCGTTTTGTATGAATAATCATATTTGGTTTAAGACTATATTTATTTATATAGTACTTTTTACATTAATTTAATTCTTAAAATTATTTAATTATATTATTTTATATCTTATTCTTAAATTAAAACTCTAAAATATAAATTATATGTTAGAGTTCATGATTTAGGGTTTATGACTTGGAGATTATGGGATCGTGGTTTAAGGTTTTAAGTTAGAGATAAGACACAAAATAATACAATTGAGTAAATTTGCAGGTTAAATTGATGTAGAAATACTATAGAGATGAAAGTGATAAATTAAGTATACTACAAGAGCAAGGACCCTTTTTACCATTATATTTTATCTTTTTTATTTTTATGATTAATTATAATTTGACATTTTGAACTTCTTGAACTAAAATTATGATTCTATTCCTATGACCAACAATCATTTTCTTCTCAAATTAAAAGTAGTGAATCATTTATGATCCACGAATTAAATATATATTGTGAATAACTATATAGTCTAATATTGAATAAATGAGAGAGAGAGAGAGAAGGATTTGGACCTTTGTGGTAGTGAATAAAAAAAAAAAAAAAGAGGAGTGTTGCAAGTCGATATTAACATGTCCCTATCAATTGCCTTTGCCCCATCATCACCCCACCTATGGCCATTACACCTCCCACCCCCCCGGGGGCCCCCACCCCCCAAGCCTCTCTCTCAGCAATTGCCGCATCGTTTTCCCTGCATGCCCACCCACTAAAGTTGTAATCCCTGTCCTCCCCTTTAATATTTCGTTAATAGGGACCTCATCCCAAAATTGACACTTTTGGATTTATCACATCACTTGAAACCAAAATTATCATTTGATCTTAAACTTTAACCCTCAATGTTCCATCAAATCACAAGGGGAAAAAATAATTACAACATTACATTCAACTGATGTGAAGGACATGTCTTGTTGGGTCAACGAGAAGTAAAACACTGAATCAAAAGCACAAGGGTAAAACATTCTGCATTAATATGTGAGATCGAACCAACATATTGGCTTTTATCATGTCCCTGACAGTTTGGTATCCCCACCACATAGTGGCAGTTATGTCCACTTACCACTATTTGGACATTTTCTGTGCAAAGTTGGCCACCCTTTTCTCTATTTTTGGCACAAACTCTCTTTTATTTTTATGCATAAGCTCCATCAACCCAAATACAAACTTGACTCCCGACAAGGGAGCCCGGTAGGGTCAACATGGAAGATATGGAAAGTTTATTCAAACAGTGGTCGTCGGTTCATTAGATTTTATTTGATTCGAATCGATTTCGATTTAAATATCATTTAATATATTAAATTAAATTAAATATTTTATTCATAAATTTTAGATTTGATAAATGGATTAATTGATCGAGCTAACGAATCAATAGATTAAATCAACTAAAATAAAAATATGTCGTTAAATAATTTAGCCTACTCTTACAATATTATAAAATACTATTTATATCGTTATTTAAAGAATCAGATATTGCTTTTTAAATATTTTTTTTGTTTTTGAATAGTTAATATTTTATTATTGAATAAAGATTAATTTACTAATAAATGAAAGTTTTGAACGGAACCAAATCCATAAAAATCATGTTCAAAATGTGGGCGGTAGGAACTAAACCTAACATCCGTCTGAATGTTAAACTGCTACATTAATGTTATTATTTAATTAGTGATATAAATAAAGCTTAATTATAAAATAAATGCTCAAACTATAGTGTTTTTTTATAAATTTATGTCTAAATTATTTTTTAATGATCATAATATTACGTTACAAACGTTATCACTTTATGTGTCCGGGTCATCAACGATGTTAATTTCTTTCATTAAATAACACCGGTCACATTCTACTAAATTTTAAAAAAATATCTAAGATTAAAAAATAATTATATTTAAAAGCACAAAAAAATGAAATAACTCAAAACTTTAAAATCTTTCATTTCAACCCCTACACCCACACGACCCCTATAAATTTGTGACTGATTTAATACAAATTGATGTTTTATCCAACACCCAATCGACGACATGAATAGAATAATAGTAGGGATTATGTCGACGGTAGTGGTCATAGTCGAAAAGGATGAGTTAAAATTTAAAATTATAGAATTTTAAGAGAATTTAAGATTTTCACATATATAATAATATTTTTAAAAAATAAATTTTAAAATTATCATATTATAAAACATGTTACTTAAGTTGACGGTCTACACACCTAATATGATACAATTTATAACGTTAAGCACTAAGATCACTCAAAAAATAATTTGAACACTAATTTACAAAATAAAGGCTATAGTTTAAAAACTTATTTTACAATTAAACCTAAAAATAATGACAAAATATAATATATATTGGTGGACAAATGAACTCAAATTAATATGGTTTTGAGTGCGGACTGACTAAAGGTAATTTGATTTGACTTGTTGTAAGCAATGGAAACAACTTCCCTCTCATATCATTTACAGTCGAATATCAATATCAACTTAACTTTATTCTCAGGGAATGAAGGGTTCTCCTTATTACAACACGATATATGAAAAAAAAAATCAATATTTATTTTTCAAAAAAATGTACATAAAATTTATATTATATTATATTATGTACATAAAAAGAAGTGTTATTTTTATTAAAAATATAAATTTAAATAATCATGTTTATAATATATATATTATCAATAATTAAAAAAATTCTAAATAGATATTATTAAAAATATTTTGTTTTATCGGATATGAACTTCCGAGAGAATAATCTCTTAATACATTCATAAAAAAAGGTGATTTTAGAACCAAAAACAAAGAAAAAAGATTTGTGGTCAACTAAAAAAAATGAGATTAAATAATTAATAGTTTCCTTTAAAGGTTCCTAGTTATAATCAACCAACAGAAATTTTGTCTCTGGTTTCCTTCCTTTCAAATGTCTATAGTCAGACCCACCTTCTCTAAGGCAACAACTCCTACATTTACACCAAAATCCTTAATAATGGAATCAATCAAACACTATATGCTGCAAAAAAAGGATGGATGGCATGCCATTTATGTATCAACCTATTGTAATTTTGTGCAGCTTCCCCTTAATTCTACTTTTAAAATGGGACCACCAAGGAAAAAGATTCAAATGCATGCAAGAGATGTATCCTTTCTAAGGATACCTGCACATGGACCGGTCACCGCTGAGGCGGTTCTGAACCGGTTGCGCCTGAAGTGGTACTTGGTCCAGCGCCATTTTCAGCTGGAGGAGCGGTGCCCCATTTTCCTTCGGACTCCGAAGGCTCGACGATTTGGACTCCACCATCTGTAAGTCCCAATGCAAATTGATTTGGGTCGGATGGATGTGCCGCGATGACGAGAGGATAAACTCTCAAACTGTTCAAGGTTGCAGTGTTAGAAAAACTAGCCACAAATATTGGATGGCGTTGAGAACCGATTTTAGCAATGCAATCAATTTGTGTTTATGACTTTTAATGAGAGAAGAGAAGGGTACCTTGGATTGGGAGGTAAATATGCAGCAGAACTAATTCGACATCTCAATCTGAGCGTTGAAGCGGTAAGAACACCAACACTTCCATCTTCGAAGCTCACATATATCATTTGGCTGTCACAGGAGTATGTTGCATGCGTGATGGGACCGCTTGCTTCTCTAGGGACCCACTGTTTGAGAAAATTATTCCAAAACAACCTTAGAACAAATCCCAAACAACATATGTTCTATTGACAAATAGCAATATACGGTTGGAAAGGAATTTCTAAAAGGACAAATATGGCAATGCCAGCACACTCCTTAGACCTACCACATGCACGTGGTGCTTCAAATATTGCTATCTGTGTTTCATGAAGTGCTATTGATTTAAACATAAATTTTAAGCGGTAATAATCTAGAAAATATAAATTATATGGAAAGTAAGCTTGGACACCTGCTTTAGGCATTCTAGTTTTGGTGCTTCAAATATTGCTATCTGTGTTTCATGAACCGCCAGCAAATGTATCTGATCCAGGTGAAACTGAACACGAGTCTCAGCATGAGGAGATGCTGCCCGACCATTAGGTATTTGCAAGAACTTACTAGTTTGCTTCTCCCATCCATCTGTGCTCCATACACAGAGCTGTAGAATAAAATAGATGTGGAATGATTAGCACACGTAAATGGAAAGTTAACAAGTGCTAAAAATCATTTTATAGGACATGAACATACGTCAAGTCCTAAGAAATTATGTGTAGTGTTTAATATGATAACAGACCATCAAACCATGTAGGAACGACCTCATATAAGCATAATGAATTAATATGCTTTCACAAGCATGAATTCAAGAGAATCATTTCCTATTCATACGGTCCATAACAAGATTAACTCGAAATAAGCCAATGACTTTGAAATTCAAAGTGGGTTGTTAAACTGCTTAGGATACAAGAAGCAAATGTGGAAAAGAGACTGAAATTTTGTACCTGACTGTCAGCTCCAGAAGATACAAGCACGTTCAGAGTATGAGAGAAAGCAAGACCTGTTATTCTTTTCTGATGACCTTTTAACTTTGTCTTCACCTGTTAAAATAAAGCACATAGGTTTGTGAAAATAATGTTAAGTGTACTAAGAAGTGGAAGCTGGGATTTCCTGTTTCTAAATGTTTGTCTTTAAGAAGTGTTCTCGATGGTAGGAGAGGTAAATCTTGTTATGCAAGGGTATACAGAAGAACAAGGAATAGACGTATATGGCAGTGCTCGGGTTTGAAAGATGATGTCACTTGCGCAGAGGGTATTCTGATTAAGAAACAGAATGCCGCTGAGCTCACTATTTATCAGAAACTATCTCCAATTTTCAGTGGAGGTGAACAGGACAAGGACATCTTCTGTTCTGCCAATTTACAGGACTCATCTTCGGCTCCTTTAATCCGTAGTCAATTATCAGAAAGTGCGGCAGTAGCTTCTTCTTCCACTTCAGGGTCAAGTAAAGAATTTAGAAGGAAGAAAAGATACTTAATCTCTGAAGCCATGGACAGGGTTAATATCTATACAGCTTCTTCATTCACGTTTTCGAAGTTGTTGGAGGAAGCGTTAGCTACTTGGCAAGTTTGTCAAATGTTAGGCATTTCTTTTAACGAAGAGAAGGAGGTTTTCATTGAAAAAATTTTAAGTCTGGAACAACATTCAGAGGTAGTAAGGGAGTCTTGACTGGTGGTCAGAATGTGCTGTCTGCAGTTTTGGTATTTTGTTGTTTGGGTGTTAATTATCTCTAATGAATAATCTAAGTATTTTAACGTGGAACATAAGGGGCCTTGGAAGAAGAGAAAAATCTGTAGCAGTTGCAAGGCAAGTAAGGAAGTTGAAACCAGTTTTTCTATTCATTCAAGAATCAAAGTTGGATCTAGTACATGTGTCGATTATTAGGAGGATAGGGGGTAATTTGCTAAAGGGAGTCTTGGTGTCTCCACTCAACATCGGGGGTTGATTACCATGTGGAATGAAAGTGTGGTTCAAGTCTTTCACCAGCATGCTCACAGTAGGTTTTTGGCAGTTATGGGGAAATTGTTGAATGGGCAAATGGAGTTTGATTTTATAAATGTGTGTGGGCCTTCTATCGAATCAGAAAAGGAAGAGTTTTATGGGAAGCTGCTGCAATTTGTTATGTCTCAGAATTTACCAGTATGTATTGGGGGAGATTTCAATGCGTATATTGATACGGATGAAAAGCAAGGGAAATCACAAAATTGGAATTCAATCTATATCCTTAGATCCTTTGTGCAGCAAGCGAATCTCATTGATTTGCCTTTGTCAGGAGGTACATACATGTGGTGCAACAATAGAGAATCTTCAACTTGGGTGAGACTGGACCGGTTCCTAATTTGTGCCAGATTTCTTAACAGTTTTCCTAATGTTACACAAAGTCTTCTACCGAAATCAATTTCAGATCACAATCCAGTTTTGTTGGAGGATGTTTCTATTAGTTGGGGGCCTAAACCCTTTAGGTTCTTTAATTTTCTTTTAGAAGAACAAGGTTTTGATGAATTGGTTGAAGAATCACTGGCAGTAGAGAAAAAGAAGAATAGAGGGGGTATTTCCAGGTTGTTACAGGCTGCAAAAAATAAAATCAAAAACTGGCATGGTAGTTGTCACAGAGGACTGGGTGAATCCATCTCGTAGCTGGAATTTAAAATCAGTGCTTTGGACAGAAAATCTCAAGGTGGAATTTTGTCTTCAGGGGAGTGGAATCAGCTGATTGATTTTAAAAAAGAGTTACGGAGGCTGTTGAGAATCGAGGAGAGGATCTGGTTTCAGAAGTCTAGAACAAGATGGATTAAAGATGGAGATAGAAATACAAGGTTCTTTCACCTTACTGCATTGAGGAGAAACAGAATCAATTCCATTCATTCATTGAAGTATGAAGGGGGATTTATTTCAGATCCAGAACAGATAAAAGCAACTGTTTTCAATTTTTTTCAAGAATGCATATAATGACAAATCAACTCTGGAAGTCGCAGGCTTTAATTTTGATTTTAAACAATTGACAGCAGTTCAGAGAGAATGTCTCGAGGCAGAATTTTCGGAGTAAGAAGTTTGGCAAGCAATTGCTTCTTCTGAAAGTTCTAAAGCTCCTGGTCCAGATGGTTTTACCATGGGATTTTATAAGAAATTCTGGCTGAATCTGAAGGCCCAGATCATGGAGTTTTTTTCTGATTTTTACAAAGGAAAGGAATGGGTTCATGGGGTAAATCATGCATTTATTACCTTGATTCCTAAAAAAGGTAATCCGGAGTGTATTGAAGACTACAGACCTATCAGCCTTGTAGGCAGTCTATATAAGATTCTTTCAAAAGTTCTGTCTAAGAGACTTTCATTATGTGTTAATGATATTGTAAGCCCAACTCAGTTTGCTTTTATTCTGGGGAGACAATTGTTGGATTGTGCTTGTATAGCAAATGAAGGCATTGATTTTTGGAGGAAACAAGGGCTTAGAGTTGTTGTTTTCAAAGTCAATTTTAGCAGAGCATATGACACAGTTGACTGGCAGATTCTTCTAAGGCTTTTGAAAGTCATGGGCTTCGGTGAAAGGTGGTGTTCTTGGATTTCACAGTGTATTTCCACTGCCTCAATCTCGGCTTTAGTCAATGGGTCGCCTACAGAGGAGTTCCCAATAGCTAAAGGCTTGAGACAAGGATGTAGCCTTTCTCCTCTTTTGTTTAACGTGGTTGGTGAACTACTTCACATGATGTCATCCAAAGCTGTGGAAATTGGCCTATTTCAAGGGTTTGCGTTTGGCAAAAACCAAAATAGTTTCACTTTGTCTCATCTTCAGTTCGCAGATGACCTTATTATTTTCTGTGGAGCTTCCATTACTCAGATAAAGAATGTGAGACGAGTTCTGAGGATTTATAGCTTAATGACGGGACTTCATCTTAATTTAGCTAAAAGCAAACTTTTTGGCATTAATGTGGAGGATGATATCATGGAAGATTGGGCTTCGTCTATTGGATGCTCTATAGGTTCATTTCCGACCGTATACTTGGGACTTCCGTTAGGGGCAAAAAGAAATTGTGGGACCGGTTTTTGATAATTTCCACAAGAAACTAGCGGGGTGGAAAGCCTCTTCCTTGTCATTGGCAGGTAGATTGGTGCTTATTAAGTCGGTTTTGTAATCTTTACCTGTCTTCTTTCTATCTTTTTTTCAAGATGCCTTCTACTATTTGCAAGAAGTTAAATTCTTTGATGGCGGCTTTTTTATGGGGTGATGGGGCCGAGAAGAAGAAAATGCATTGGGTAAGTTGGGATAAGATTTGCAATACTTCGAGTTGTGGAGGTTTGTGAGTTGCCGACTTGAAATATTCTAACCGAGCCTTGTTGGGAAAGTGGGTGTGGAAGTTTGCTAATGAGAAAAGTTCATTGTGGAAGCGTTTCATATGCACCAAACATGATGTTAGTTGTAATTCCATGGATATTATCAAGGTCCTCTCCCATAAGGACTCTTGGATTTGGAGGGGAATTGTTAATAACTTCACCAAAGATGATGTTGTTGGAGGTTGCCTTAGAGCCCATGCGAAGTTACAAGTAGGGAATGGCAAATCGATCTCATTTTGGAATGATACTTGGTTAGGGGATTTTCCTTTGAAAATGCTTTTCCCTAGGATTTTTGCTCTTTCTCCAATCCAAGGGGGCAAGGTTGCTGATTTTGGGAGCTTCGATTCGAATGGATGGGAGTGGAATATTAGAACGAGGAGGAATCTCTGTGATTGGGAGGTGGTTCAGTTGGTGGAGCTATTGGATAGACTCGAAAACATTACATTAACCGAATCTTTGGAGGATTGTTTGCTATGGGATGGAGTGGGGGAGGAGTTGTTTTCGGTTAAAGCTTGTAGGAAGTCTTTTTCCTATTCTAATGAAAATTCATTTTTATGGAACAAATATGTTTGGATGGGTTTAGTTCCTCCTAGAGTTGAGGCTTTCCTTTGGCAAGTATCCCATAAAAAATTATCGGTGAGAGTGGAGTTGAAGAAACGGGGGGTTCCCCTAGGTGATGATATTTTATGTCCTCTTTGCAATCTTTGTGAAGAATCTGTTCAACATCTTTTTATTTCTTGTCAAGTTTCGTGGGAACTGTGGAATAAAATTATCAGCTTTTGGAGTATTTCGTGTGTTTTACCCTCTGATCCTCCCTCCCTCCTCAGCTCTTGGACATATTTGAAGCTTTATTCTGCCATGTGGAAGTTCATTCCAACAGCAATCCTATGGTCTTTATGGAAATTTAGAAATGATATCATCTTTAATGGAGGTAAACTGGACAGATTCGCTTTGTTTTTCACGGTTCGGCTAAGGTTGGCGAAATGGTTCTTAGCAAAGTATCCCAAAAGCTCTATTCAGGTGGATTCGTTAATTGTTGATCCTTCATTGGCAGACACTTGCTCAGTTATAAAAGATTTGAACAGGCCGGTGGTTAGTTGGAGTCCTCCTCCAACTGACTTTTATAAAATGAATGTGGATGGAGCTGTTTGTATTGTTGGGAGAATTGCTGGAATTGGGGGTATTCTCAGAGACTGGAATCGGACAAAGCTGATTTCTTTTTCAGAAAATGTTGGACCTACTCCTATCATCGTAGCAGAGTTGAAAGCAATCAAGAAAGGAATAGATTTATTTGTTTCTTTAGAATGGGCACCGAAGGGAAGGTTAATTGTGGAATCTAATTGTAAACTAGCAGTGGAATGGTTGAAAGATTAAGCAACTGTCCCTACTTTTCTTTCTAATCTAGTTAAGGAGATAGCTTCTACAATGTCTGTGCACGAGATTATTATAGCTTCTACAATGTCTGTGCACGAGATTATTGTGAGGTGGATTCCGAGGTGCTGTAATTGAAAGGTTGATAAACTAGCAAAGGAGGGGATTGGGTGATGGGAATTGTTGTTTCAGCGAGTTGGGGCGTTCAGCAGTTATGATTTTTAGCAGTGTGTTTAAGTTTTATGTATCTTGTAGGACTGTTTTTAAGTCTTATGTAATTCATTTAAAATCAATAAAGTCTGGCACTCTTTTCCTCCTTCCACTAGTTGGTTCATACCATATGGTAAAGGACCTCTAAGAGGGAGGTTTTTTAATGAGGCCATCTATTCCTATCAAAAAAATAATAATTCCCACTTATTTATCAACAACCAACAAAGTTAAAATGTCAATTAAAAGGACCTCATCCACCCGAACATTGTAAATTTGGATCGATGAATCATCCATGCCTATGGCAATGATATTATTGTCCTGGGGATGAAATGCAAGAAATGTAGCTGCTGGTGGTGGGGGCATGAACGTTGTCATTGTCTGCATATTAAGAAAGCACAAAGAAAAATATGAAATTAAATTATGCAAACTAATGATCCTCACAAATAATAACCTTATTGTCAAGTCAGTTTCAACCTAAAATTCTAACTAATCAAATAATCTTCAGTATTTTAGTCCAAATTCCTTAAACTTCATGGCTATAGTATGAAAGCTTATACTTTAAATGGCCTACTTACATAAAATTCCAGAGCTTTCCTCAGAGGATAGTCATGTCAAAAGAATGAAACAAGTGGAGAAAGTACCAACCTTGAATGTCATCATATTGAAGAGCGATATTTTACCCCCTGATGCAGACATCACATAAGAATCATTCTTTGAAAGTGCAAAGCATGGAACAGCATCTTCAGGATTTGTATCACTTATATCATTAGTCATTAATATTCCACTTGAAGGCTGCCATAATTGGGGTGCTACACTAGTTGTGGCCTACAAAAGACAGGAGTTAGTTAATACCTAGCATAAAATAAGGACTTAGTTAATACCTAGCATAAAATAAGATTAAGAAAATAAAAACTAAAAATAGCATTAGGAAACAAAGCATGAGATCTAGCAAAGAGTTGTTAAAGAAATTAACACACCTTCGCAGTTATGTTGCGATCACTCCTCTGCCATTTCCAGAGCTTGTGGACAGCATTAGATGCTAATGCCAATATGGCAACCCCAGAATTTGTATATATTAGTCTAGAAACCTGAAGTCAAACACAAAAAATAAATGATTATCCCTTTTCTATGAATAAATAAATAAGTACATATTATCAACAAATATTCCTTAAAGTTCAAATCACTGACTGGCTAAAGACAAAAATAATCCCAGGGTATTTTAAGCATCCACATTATTAAATAGAGTATCACTTATGATGATTTATTAAATAGAGCTTCTCTTATGTTGATTATCATACTCATAGAGTATAATCGCAGCCGTGAATAATCCGAACCACAAATATTTCTATTGATATCTTAGGTCCCCAATTGTTAACATAACCTGAAAAATACATTAGCTGTTTACCACACAGCAGATGATAACATTTTCCATGAATAGCTTATCTTAGAAGGGACAGAAAAATCGACATTCAGGGACAATTTTTACCCTCATTGCTGTCAAACTATCAGGAAGCCTTAAGGTGCGGCACTGTGATGGTTCATTGATTTCTGTAAGTTTCCAGATCCTAGATTTTTCCACCGATTCATCTGTAATTCTGGGCTTTACATCAGCCAAACTTCGAGCATCATTATTCTGGAGAGAGAGAGAACAAAAAAGGTCAGATCATACATTTTTTTCATGCATAAATAATAATATGTTAGACAGATTATATTCAAAAGATAATTTAGATTTCTACCAAATGCAATAGGTATCATTATAAGAGGTAACTCACTGGTCCGACTATCGGAGCGACTGGTGCAGCCCGATCACCAACGGTCGTTCCGATGGTTGCATTGTTAGAACCAAATGGACCAATATTAGGTGCCTGTTACATAAATCAAGCACTTAGGAAACATATTCTTATAGAAGACATATAATGATCTGATAGTTGTACGTAAGTGTATATTTTACCTTTACTACAGCTGGAGGAGCAACTCTAGAAGCATCAAACGAACGGTTCTCCACTGTCCGTAGCAACCTAACCCCATCTGAATTTGCTAGAATTTTAACTCTATTATCATCAGTTGAAACAGCTAACAATGTTCCTTCCTTGTTAAATCTAATGCAAGGGGAAGGCTGCATTTTATTATAAAAGAGACAGTTAATAGGGATAGCAAGCATCAAACAGCCTAACATGAAATAAGGCATATGCTTATGTACCGGCAATCCACCATCAGCTGGTGTACTTGTTAATAGATTAAGATTGTCCATGTCCCAGAATTTGACAGTGAACTCATCACCAGCAGCCAAGAACCTATTCTTTGTCGTATCAAATTGAACAATTCCCACAGATCGCTTTCCAAGACCAAAATATGCCCGCTTGACAGCTCCTTCACTTTCATTCCATTCCACCAAGAATGATTCCCCTTCTTTGTTTGTCCCGCATGAGAACAACCTATAAGTGGTCAATATAGATTAAAAGATTAATAGTACTGTTAAAGAATAAAAATATAGGAAAAGAACAACCTCAAAAGAAGAAAGACCAGAATTGTAGAGTACAAATAAGATTTGAACCTTGTTCCATCAGCACTGTATGACATCGTTGTGGATGACTGACCAGGTGCATTATAGTCAACTCTTGAACCCATATTATCATACAACCATGCCTTTATTTTCCCATCGGTTGCTGTTGAGAAAATGAACTGAAAAAACAGAACAAAACCAAAGTGTTAATATAGCAGTAAAATAAACATGCAACTTACAGGATACCAATGATTAAAAAAGTATAATTTAAAAATAATAATAAATAAATAACATCACCAAAAGAAAAGGAACACAAATTCTTAAAGAAATAAAAAGAACCCAGAAGGGAGTTTATGGTTCTATAGTTGAAAGAAAGATTGCACTAAGTCCTAGACACATTGTTCCATACAAGCTCAATATCCCAAATTTTAAGATGATCTTGCCATGTCCTGTATTAATCTCCAGAGAAGATTTCTCTTAAATTATATTTTAACACTTCCATTTATTTAAATATGACTTAAGCAGAAATAAGTGACCGTCGAAGATAAAACTACTGAATTTACAAACATAAACAGCAGTTTTCATGATAGAACCCAAGCACGAAAATTTTCCACAAAGAAAGCTCCAGAACATTGTAAGACAATCCACTCTGAAATAAGAAATCAAAGAAAAGCTAAAAACAGACTTGATTAAACATAAATTTGTTGCCAATGGTTCTGTTTTGACATTAAATACATAATTATCTAATGCCATGGATTCCATCTGTTAAGATTCTGTGAATAAACCGGTTAAAACTTTTGAACTTAGTTTCCTAAATAAATTATTGGTTCTTTTCATAAACTAAGGGAAACGGTTCTTCTTCTTTTTTCCCTCGCTGATGAAATAGAAAAGAAATCTAAACAAAGGAACAAACAAGTATCAGTCTCCATGCTGTTGTTTGTTACCTGAATATTTTCCTTGTGATGAGGGCATATAGAATAGACAGGTGCTTCATGACCCTCAAAAGTATGCAGTTTAGCCCCAGAGACCGTATCCCAAACCTACAAGATAGGAGACTGTTAGAAAGTGATGTCAAATAGAAAAATAAAATAAAATAAAAGAGAGAACAAGCAACCTTAATAACCCTGTCATCGCCACAAGTGACAACACACAATTGTTTGTTTGGGTAGGAGAATGCAAGATCATTTACACTTCCAACATGAGCCTCAATCTAAAAAAAAAGAAAGATAATTTAGTGAATATAATTAGGCGAAAGCAAGGCAAAATATCAGCTTAAAACTAGATGAATCTAATCAAATCGACCAATCACACAAACCTCTAAGCGGTTACGCAGATCATCACCACCATGATAGGAGAATATGTGCACAAGATGCTTGGAGTATGCAACACCTGAAATCAGGAGAAAATGTCAAATCTAGTTTTCGATTTAGTAGACTATAAGAAGTCCAATTGTTATAGCTACAAAAATTACCAAAAAGAGCTCCATCAGGGCTCCACACCACGCGGTTGACTGATACTGTACAATCCTTTGCCAAAGATGCCTGTGAGAATCAGGAGGTTAACATCAATCCAATTTTAAGGACTGTATAACAAGTTCATGTTCAATAAATCTTGTTAGCGGTGAAACAAAGCAATACCTGCAGAGGCATTGAACATGATGAAAGGTCCCAGACCTTAAATGTTTTATGAGCTATCCTTTCACCACTACCAACTTCCCACACCATAATATCACCAATGTTTGTTCCCACTGAAATCATAAAACAAAATACAGAGAACACAATTAGAACACAACATGAAAGAGAAGTAAAAACCTACTCAATTCAGAGGAAATGAAGTCTGAGCAGGCATGAAAACTTTATATGCCGGTGTGTTGGCTCACCAAGAAGTAGAAATTGTTGCACTGGATGGAAATCCATGCTCTTGACAGAAGACCCCTGACTTAGAGTCATAACAACAGTCTTGGTCAAGTCATCAAGAGAGTAAGAACTCTGACTATGGGTCTGGCCGGCATATGGAACAGGCAAAATATTTACCGACAGATTATTGACCTGGTGAAGGAGTAGCTGATCAGATACCCTTCATTTATAAATATCATTTCAAAGAAAGCAAGAAGGATGATCAACGCTACAAGATGGAGCAGATCTCATGCTTCCCAGACTACCAGTCATACGACTAACAGCAGGGAAACCTTTAAGGTGATATACAAGATAACTCAAACTCACAAAAGTGTCAAAACTGCATATTTACCCTTTTTCTCTTTTCAAGTGATAAAGAGAAACCAAAGACAAGGACTCCATGACAGGCAAGTAAAGTGACTTAAGAATGGCACTCAAAGACCAAGGAAAGCAAATAAAATTTTCTGCTCTGCCTGACTGACACTGCTATAATACATTTCCCTCATTACCCATCATTTAGGTCACAAAGGGGAAGCAGAGAAGCCCTTGCTACTTATTAACAAATATTTTCAACCTAGTGATAAAATGGTCAATACAAGTCTAAATGACTCAATGAATTAATTAATACCCTCTAAATCTCAATAAATGAGCATCACCAGCATCTCAAAGCCATACTATTTGATGGATATGGGAACTAGATATATCCACATGTTACACAGAGGTCGTGAGATAAATCTATTTGTAAACAAGATCAAAGGGTGTTATTAGTGAGTGATACCTCCTCTGGCATTCCGAAGGGCCTTGATCTCTTCAAAACATGTTCAGAATCCGCTGACTGATAGTCCAGAGCAGGGTTATTGGTTGGAGGAGTTCTAGGACGTTTCAAGATTGCAGCTACCATGAGAAAGAAATATAGAAAGTGAGACAATATCCCATCAAGATATGCATTTAACTAAAAGAACAAGTCAGCCTCTCCTAAAATCTTCATGCTCCAGTGAATTTTAAGTGCTTTTTGGCATTATATCTTAGCAAAAAATATACCTTTACCTAATAGGTTTCATGTATCGTGTCCTGACAGAGGACATACATGCATTTCTAAATACAAATATAGCTTCACATCTATCCCCACAAAAATGAGATGCTTACTAAAGCAAAATCTCTTTGATCTCGATGGAAAGATTCTACAAATAACCACCTGCATTGTTAGGTGCAGCAAGTCCTAATGGTCCAGCAGAAGCCACAGGGTGTGGCACGGGAGTTGGGTTAGCCATCCATCCCGCAAGAGAGGTTGGAAGTGCAGGCGGTGTGGGCTGAAAGGGCTGCAAATACATGTATATCAAATCAAAGGAAATAATCACTCCAGAAACAGCTAAATTACTTATCACTTCTATTAACTTACACCATGAGCACCCAGTGGAGGAAAACTCCCTGCCTTTGGAACAGTACTCATTAAAGGATTAGTGACAGGGGATGGAGCTCGTGCACCATTTGGTTGTCCACAACTGTGGTCCACAAATAGGGTTTTGATGTCCGGATTAGACCTTGGATTCTTACAAAGTTGATGCTGCCAGTTCAAACTGCATTATAACGAAAATAAATAATTGTTAGGAAGCTCACAAAAGGAAGAACGGAAGGAATCAACTATAGAATCTACACAAAAGAATACGAGACCTCTGATTTATTAGTGTCCGCAATCTTGAATTCTTCAAGGTGGGAAACTGAAGCTTATCACGGAAAAGAGGGTTAGCCTCTATTAACTTCTTTAATTCAGCAAGCATTATACCCCTAGCAGATTTTGTGTCTCCATATTTTGATAGTTGCTCATTTTCTCTGTGTATTAACATTAGCCATAAAATCTCATGAACACATAACTAACGAAACCAAACTAATGCCACATTAGACTAGCATAAGCTGAGAAGTAATATTTAATTCATACCTGAAGTTGTCCAATGTCAATAGATGTGTAATTTCCTTAAAAAGTTCCTCGTTAAATGTAGAAAACACTTTAAGGTCCTTAACTAAAATCTCCACCGCTTTAGTACGATCCTTCCTGCATTTATTTTATGGAAATACAGATGGACATAGAATCATTCCTTTTATATGGCAACTAAATTAACTCCCAAATAGGAAAAACTAACTCATGAGACGTGGCAAAAATGAAGTTTAAGACAAGGGCTTACTTGTCTAGAGCTTCAAGGTACTTCTGTTTACGAATCTCAAAGAAAATTTTCATGGAATATCTATTATCATCAACTTTTGTAAACCCTGAAAGATATTTCTCTACTTCATCCCATTCTCCATTTGTCACCATTTCCTCGAAATATTTCAAATTGAAGAAAAACCCTGATTCTTGCTCCAATCTATTAACATATTAATCAACAAATACAAAATTATATATATATATATATATATATAAATGCATCAACACAATAATAAAATTAAATTGAAGTCAGGGAGAACAAAAGCCGAAAGATTAAAGCATGCCTGTGAACAGTGTCTTTAAATTTCTCCTCATCAAGGAATTGAAGTATGAGGAACACAAGTTCTCTGCTAAGCGAGGACATGATTGTAATTCTGTAAAAAGAAACCAACAAGACAATATAAATACAAAGAGATCTGAATTTCTCACAATCAATTATACTTCAAAATATAAACCCAAAAAACCCTAAAGAAATTACAGTCCCAGCTCGTAAAATTCAACAACTCAAGAATATTATCCAAACAAAATAAAAAGTTATAAAAATGAAAAATAAAAATTACCAGAATAATTGCACAGATCGAGAGAAATTTTTGGAGAAAGCGAAGAGAACGGCAGGTTGTTTCACTGCTTTCTCTTTTTTCTTCCCAAGAGTAGTTTCTCTCTCTCTCCGTTGCTGTCTCTGGTGAAGTATTTATACAGAATAGAGAAAGGGTTCGGATTTGAACGATGAAAAAGGAAAAATTAAACAAGCAAAAATTCAAATAAATAAATAAATTTAAATATGCCAGCACCCGACAAATTAGCTAAATACCGTAAAGGAGACGATATGAGATGAGAATTAGATCTAATGATATGAATGATAAGTTCATTGTCTGATAAGTTATTGTACTTATAGCGGTGTTATTTATTACGCTGGATTAGTGCCCAGTGCATGATTACTAAACTTAGATTTTGTACTCAAATAGTTTTTTAAGTAACATTTTTACGTTATTACTAGAACCAGTCCCTGCATTCAAATTAAATAATTATTTTTTCTATATTTAAATTTTAATTTATTATTATATTTTATCAATTATATCAACTAAATATGGATATAAATATTAATTAGCTTTGAAATAATTTAAAATACTCATTATAAACTAACCTTAAATGATTTTTTACTCTTTATGTAAAACTTACTAAAAAGGACAACTTTCTTTATTTGAATAAATCAATAAAAAATAGTTAAATAATTAAAAATGTTACCTAACTTTGCCGGTGCATAAATAAGAAAGCATTTGTATGATATGAGAAATCATGGGAAGTGAATAGAGTTTGGTAGGTTAAATTAATATGGATACAAATTAAACAATAGTATTTAAATTTTAATTACTATTTTATTCTATGTTTTAAACTACCTTTCTAGTTTTAGGATAAACTTTAGACTTATTACTAAACAAGAGAAACATAACAAAATGAAACAAAACGCTTGAGGATAATTATATAAAAAAAATTAAACTAAACTATTAGGTTTACCTATTACACTCTATTTGAACCCTCATTAGACATTATATGTAACACCCCAACTCATATTCGATCTGAATACGAGTCTGAGATGTCACATTGACTTTTAAAAATGATATTCTTACAAAATATTAAAACATGTGAACTCATTTTAAGAAAATATGATCATATATTGTTGAATTGTGTTTGTTATAAAATTTTGAGTCAAAAACGTATTTATGAACATTAAAATATGGTATGAACAGTACCGTGAACATTAATGAACATTACTGTGAGCAATACACTGCTACAGTACCCGAATGTTAAAATTTTCCAGATTGTCATAGGGGAACCGATTCCCCTGCTACAGGGAACCGATACCATGCTATAGTACTTCCGTAAAATATGTATAAATTCATAAAAATCCAAGGTTTCATCATTATACATTTACCATTTGCATATATACGTTTAAAACATTTCAAAACTCGATCAGAGCGTATCTAATACAAATCCTTTTTATTACATGTCAACTAAATTATTTCTAACAAAATACATGTAATTCGATCTACATTTATGATATGATCTTCAGTAAGGAGAACTGATATGTCTCGTTCCTTTTTACTTCTCTTTTCGCTTTCCAAACCTACGTGTGAAACAATCACACGCTAAGTCGATGACTTAGTGAGGCATATAAAACATATAATATAACCATATACCATTTCATATAAACAAACGGCATACATCTGCAAATACTATCATTAATCACTTTTACTTACCATATATTCATCATATAACACATATATCAATATACCAAGGAATAAACATATCATCATGTAATTTCTATAAAATATTTCATATTACCAAATATACATATCATATATAGTGTATTTGTTATCATCTCATTTAAACTCATGTACACATGTCACTAATTCTTTTTATCATATAAACATATACTAAAACATTTCTATACAGATCATGGAACACATATATCATTATCAACACGTTTAACATTTCATATTCATTATCATTAATTCTTATAATTTAACACCTTTATACATAACATATCATGCATTAACCAAGCAATACACCATTACATAAATCATGTGATTTATTTCATATAATAAATCACATATACATATCATATTTAGTATACTTATTAAATTTCTTTATTGGCTCATGTACACTATTAAGAACTTAAGGTATGTGAGTACATTGAGGTTGTGCACCACTATGTTATCACCACAGCTCGTATAAATGTCCCGAAGGACCTATCCAGAGGTCATAAATAACCTCGGTGACTGTCCATAGGTCCTGAAGAACCTAGGTAAATGTCCATATGTTCCTTAGAACATAGGTAAATTATTCATATGTCCCAAAGAACATATGTAAGCTGTCTATATGTCTCGAAAGACATAGGTAAATTGTCCATATGTCTCGAAGAACATAGGTAAACCCTCGACTCTTGGCATGCCAACTATACCTCTAGCTCTCATATCATATATCATGGGCAATATCATTTATAACAGTTCATATATTCACGTCACTTATTCATATCATTTCTCTTCTAATCTCACATTTCTTATTTCTGTCACATATCACATGTGGATATAATCACATAGTTTACTTTCATGTAATTCATGTCACTTTTCATATGAATTCATATTCATATGTCACATAGCTCGTATCACTTTGCATGGATTCACATAAACATATATATCATCTATGTTTCATCACTTAATCTCATATCATATAGCATGCTCTATCATCTTAGGTTCACATGACATATAATGCATACAAATTATATTCACATATGCCTTTACTCATGAATTCATACATCATACAAATCATGCCATCTCTTGTTCTTATATGTTTCCAATACATCACATATATCACTAGTGCATTTTCACGTAAACATGTAAATCATATAACATATAAGAATATATATCCATTTCTATATACTAATACACACATAATAATCACATAACATTTTAAAAGTTACTTCTTACCATAGTAACTCCATCATTGGCTCATCGCAAGCCAATGTTCGTTCAATAACCTAAGTACAAAATAAATTGCACTCACCTTAGCCTTGCTTTGATTCAATCCTAATTCTTTGATTGTTCCGGTACTTGTTTAGGCTCAATCTACATAAATATAACATTTCAAAACAATTATCAGAAGCCTAAACCTTAAACTTGATGTTAATAACTTAAGCCGGTTTAATGAACTAAATTCCATTTTTTTCCATTAGGGGGAATCGATACCCCCCAGGGCGTATCTGTTCCCTCTACACAATCTGAAATTTTCGTTAAAGCCCAGAAACCACTGTTCATTGCATGAAAATTCACTATTTTCACTTTTCTATTCTTAACTCAAATATACATACTTAAACTAATTTATATCCATTTAAACCATCTTTATCTTCTATATCTCATTATGATTTTTAAAATTAATAATCATACCAAATTTTCAACATGTTCTAATTTCAATTCTATCACTTCATATCTCTTAATTAAGCTGATGACAAGTCGAATTTAACTTCAAATTCAACTTATCAACTCTATTTCAAGATTTCACTCAAGAACTCAAAATATTTAATCTCTCTTAACTCCTTTATCTTTTGATTTAAGATAACTTAAGCTTAGTTATCATCTAATGATCAAAACCCAACTTAAATTTCAACTAATAATCAACAACAACTAAATCTTACCTTTGCTTGACTTTCACGTGGAGAAGAGAAGAAGATGAAGATGAAAGAGAGAAGAGTAATCTGGAAACTTAATTTCCCAAAACGTATGCTCCACATGGGTATTATAATACCATTAATTATTATTTTATTATTTCCTTTGTTCAATAACCCTTTTGCCCTTTATTTTCTTTGATAATTACTAAAAACTTTCAGGAAATACTTTCAAATAAATCATTGAACCTTTCAACTTTTCCACTTTAATCACCAAATTCTAAAAATTTACAATTTAGTCATTGACCCGTAGTTTGGGATGTTACAATAAACTTGTAACATACAACAATAACTAAATCTCTAATATGTTAATGTGTATATCCAGAAATCTACGTGAGAATCGTCGACGAGTGTTGGTACAAGTGGTTGGTATTCAGGAATTCGAGTTTATAAAATCAAGTTCGAATCCTATCACCGTCAATCTTGGTGGACAATGTGTAAATTCCTATGTAAATGCCAGTTTGGTCTTAAGTATACCCTAGCCATGGATTGGGGGAGCCACTCCTAACCTAACTTTATAAAGAAAGAAAAAAGAAATATATGTGAAAATCGATAGAATCATGATAAATTATTTTTATATTGAATAAATATAACTATTTGCGGTTGTTTGTAACACCCCAACCCGTACCCGACCCGGATACAAGTCCGAGATGTCACATTGACATTTTAAAATAATATTCTTACAAAATAACAAAACGATTGGACTTATATTATGAAAATACTATAATATACTGTTGAATTATTCTTTATAACAAATTTAAAGAAAGAAACGTTTTTTAAGAACAATACTATACGGTATGAACAATATCGTGAACATTAATTAACAGTACAGTGAACAATAATGAACAATACCGAATGATAATTTTTTTCCAGATTGCTGAAGGGGTATCGATACCCTACTACAATGCACCCGATACCCTTCTATAGTGTACCGATACCCTTGCTACAGTAACTTTGGAACACTTATATAAAACTCATAAAAACTTAAAATTTCATAACTATACATTTACTATTTACAAAAATACGTTTAAAACATTACAAACTTGTCAGAGCATATACCATTTAAAACATTAATTACATGCCAACTACTTTCAATATTCAAAATACATATGATTCAAAATTCTTTTCTGATCTGATATTCGGTAAGAAGCAACTGACTTGTCTTGCTCCACATTGTTCTTTATTCTTCTCGAAACCTATGTGTGAAATAATCACACGCTAAGTCTATGACTTAGTGAGGCATATAAACATATAATATAAACTCTAACTTATAATCATGCATGAACAATTACTACTATCATATCATACACCAGCATATTTCTATTCATATATCAAATTCACACATGTACATATATGATTATCTTCTTTCTTATCATTATCCTTTTATCGTATAATCATATACTTATCATTTATACACATAATATAATTCATGTAATACAGTTCATATAATTAAGAGCATATATC